CAGCCGGAGAAAATCATTTTAGTGTGTATTACGGAATGTGTTTTAATTTACTATTTTGTAATTCTTGAATAGTAATGGGACTCGATAGAGTCTAACAATGGCCAACTAATCGCAGTACAAACACACGCTCGCTTTCTAACCGCAATGTATGCTAATATAATAATGGAGAAGAAAAGTTAATCTTCAGAGCGATTCCCATTCATTAGTTTAAAAAACTTTCAGCTCGTTACCAACCAATTAAAAGTCGCGTCACTTGCGCCCACGTGTCGTTAATCAGAGCCGAAAGTGACTAGCGAACGTTATCATGGTAATTGTACTTACTACTTGTTTGAAAATAAAGTAATTAATGTGAGAGCACTCTGTATAGTCTGTATCAACATGGAGTCAACACTCACAGCTGGCTGTCTTTGTTTCTAATTTACTATGATAAATGATTTTTTAAAATGGGCAGCTGTTAGTTGTAAGCCGGTTTCAGGCTTCAATGAAAGATTCAAGGGCAATAGTCGAAAATCGACGGATAACTTGAGACAATTGATTCAATGAAGTTCATTACCTATGTAGGTAATTATGTATGTAGAAACAGATGACTAATAAAAATGTTTCTTAAAGAAATTTCAACCTCGTTAATTTTAGAGGGAAATTTGTAAAAAAATATAGAGATTCATATATACACAGTCGTTTGAGTCAAATTATAGCCAGTTAACCGCGTTTCATATTTCAGACTACGATTGTTCCACCCCAATTAAAGCAAACTTTTATATTATACTATGAATTATGCGTCTCGTGCCGATGAAAGTAACACAACACAATTAGGAATATGAGACTGAAGTTTATAAATTACACATTTTGTTATATTATGTGAAACAAGTGAATTTATTTCTACAAATAGGCTACAAGGCAGCACGTTTACACGTCAATTTTTCAAGCTAACGATGAGGTCTATCCTGTCAGTATGGATCCTAGGTAAAATTAAATAGGTGTAAATAAAACTGGTTTAACGCAGCAGGCCAAGGCATGAGTCCAGGTAGCATATCATGATAAGTATGATCAGTCGTATATCGCAAATTCGAGATTACGTAGGATTGATATTTCTAATCCTACGAGACCTCGTGTCATTTTTCCGGATCAATCCAGAAGCATATTTATTACGAGATCCCGTTCAAGATTGACGAGATTGGGCGATAGTAGTTAGTAATCAGAGCAAATCTCGCGGGATCTGGTGAGATGTCGGGTATTTTCCAAGATTACTTTTTCTACTCTTACCCTGTGTTGTTATGTTATCAATGTGTTATCAAGCACATCGTACCCGTATACATCTTTCGCGGAGAACCTAACGGGTTACCGGGGCCCCGGCTCCACGTGCAGGAGAAGGAACGGGGTGGCTTTTAGTCAGTAAGAGTCTGACACTCCCTTCCGCCTCACCCAGGCGGGAGCAGTCATTCGATGATTTTCCCCCCTTAAAAAAAACCCTTTGTTGTCATATACCTAATAATAAAATACGAGTCAAATTTCAGTCAGGGGGCATAACAAGAGTCTTCTCAGTCCTATTATATACCTATTCTGTATTCTCGTCGGCGGTATTTCCGAACCGATACGACCTTCAAACCTTTAAGAAAAGAGCGTATTCCTTTTTAAAAGGCCGGCAACGCACCTGTGGCTCCTCTGGTGTTGCGAGTGTCCATGAGCGGCGCTGATCGGTTACCATCAGGTAATCCGTCTGCTTGTTTGCCTCCTATTCCATAAAAAAAGTCCTTGGTATCATTTGTGGTCACTCGACCAAACAGGCAGTCTAAACTTAGTTGAATGGTAGAATAATAGTCAGTTTAGATTTGCAGTACGATAAAATTCAATTATTTAAGGCATTAATCTGTAAAACATAATATGCATTCAAGTTAGTTGCTGGTCAACATAGTGAAAGAGTCACAAGAGATAGATGATCAGTAATTATTTACGTGGCCAACAAATGTAACATGTGGCCTAAATCGAGCAAATGTTTGTCGAAGGGAAGCCCTTCATGTTTGGCTATGTTCGCTAGTTCATCAATATCACTTTCACTTTTCCCACAGGCCGTAGAGGCCGTAGACCGGTCGGGTCTACACGACTGCATCTCCCGGTGTATCATTTACACAAAACTTTACATTGGTTCTGTTTCCGTAATGTTGATTATAACTTTCTATTCCATTTACAAATTAATCAAAACCTTACTTAACTTCAGTTAACTAGGTTGTATGTTTTGCAATAAAGTAGGAATATAACAACAATCGATGTAACATCCATCTATCATTACTGATTTACTATCTGTTTTGATCAGCACGCTCCTGAAGACAATGGAAAGATGAGGTGTAAAGATATTACGATAAGGATAAGAAGAGCGTGCAGCCGCCACTCCGGGCCGTGTAATTGCTTTACGTGACTTGGCAGCTTTCTCGAGCAGCGCACGCGCACTCCATTTAGACCTCTCCAACAACGTGTCACACGTGCACCTCATGTATCCGGAAATATTTGAAAATAATATGCTCACCGGTCTTCGGTTAATATTTGTTTTGAAACAAACCCTCATATATCAATAATTTCTTTGATATACGATCTTCATCAATAACTTTCCTAAGCCGGCACCTTATTGCATATGGCAAGTTTGACATCAGTTACCCACAATCACAATTAACCATACACGCAAACCTATTAAATAAGCATTTAGTGATTTGCAATAAAAAAAATTAATTGCCGCGAAAACACTAAATCTCTAGTAAAGCGATTGCATTGACTTGCAGATCAGCTCCAGGCAGAAAAGGAAAGTACCATGTAAAGTTGCGAATCACGATACTTTTTGTCGATCATCGTGTGAAATCTGTTCATGACTTTTTACGTATATTGAATACTCGAGCCAACAGACTCGGTCCCGAGAAAGATGGAGACACAGCAGGTGACAAGTCGCACCGTCAACTGCGCCCGCGCCTCGTCGTCACGCTTTGTTACCGACGTTTTCTCATCAATTCATTGATTCGCATATTCCGTAATTACCAATAGGTAAATCTAAGTAATTATCTATACACATACATGGAAAATTTTTAAATTTTCATTTATAAATAGTAGAAGAACAAATATTATTGATATTGACTTGACTAAATTCCACTGGGTGAACAAGATATGAGAACCACTTTCTCAGAATAGAACAGAACCTCGAGCGTGGACGATGATTAATGCGTGTTAAATTGGATAGGAAAGCCCTAGTTGTCTAGGCGCTGATGTATATTTTGACAGAGCAATTAAGTTACATCAAGACATTCATAAGATGCGTGTTTATAATAACTTGCCTTCAGGTGTAGAGATGGTTAAATAAAATCTATTGGTGGTTGAAATTGACTGATGATTTAATTTGTTTTTGTATTTTAATACCTTCATAGAGATGTTACAACAGTTTCCTCAACAAACGCGCGAATATTTTTTTATGGGATAAGCCGGTAAACAAGAGAGCAGACGGCTGCAGATTAGGCTTTAAAAATTGTGATTCAAAAGAACATAGTAATTTTAAGCTTAATGTATCTCTTTGCGATGTAAAAACCGCAGTGGGGCAGATTTTTGCGGTAGGCAAGTGGTAGGACGGTGCTATCAAATTGATTGTGGAGCGTGTACCTACACTCTAGTGGAACAGGCGCCGCGGCGGCCACTGCTCTGATGTACTTAATTGAACAAACCACCTGCAACAGCTATTATTACAGTATAACCACAGATTACAGAAAATAGAAAATGCCCGAGGGCCGCTTTCTTACCAGTAACTTAACTAGCCCAGTTATAGGTGGGCGCAGCTGCGACGAATGTGTATCACTCGTCTTCTAAACAGCTATTTATAACTATTTATAAATACATCAATATGTAGGTACTTACGTTTTATTTATTTAGTAGGTACCCGTCCTAGTGAAGGCATTTCAGCGACAATAGTGTATTTATATAACATAATTGGTCTGTATTGATGTATAACTTGTTTCGACAAGTACTCCGTTTAATGTCATCCGTAATACTTAAATCTATTTCATTCGTGCGTACGTGCATAGTCTGACACTTATTTCAAAGTAATTTATTAGTTATTTTATAAGCATCCAAAGAGTAACTTAGGCGTTTCTCATTGGAACCTAAGGTTGCTTCACAAACTGACGGGACGGACAGACAATCCACAAGTGTTCGTCGTGCAGTGTTAGGTATACGACGACCTTATGTACTTACATAAAAATAGATAGTTTTAAATAAGAAATAAAAATCTTAAATCAGCTACATGTAAACATTATTTTGATTTCATGTACCTCTATAATTTGTCATACATAAACAGCTTCAAGCAGAATATTACAATAGGTATATTTTGAAATCGACAGATGAGATTTTCTGTGCTTTCTCTAACTAGCTGCGAGCGATCGAGTGACTGTGTGAATAGTGACTAGGGTGAAATCGCTGGCAGCGCCCGCGCGGGAGCCGGACAATGACGTGCGCATGAAACTTTCAGTGATTTCATGACATTTTCAAGCAGAATTACGATGAATAATCCTGCAATCAAGTAACGATTTTCTTGAGATCCTTAATAAAATTGGGCGCAGATTGGGTTAGCCCGGCCGTGCGAAACTTATTAGTCGGTTACGCAAAAGCAATACTTGAACTAGAGCTGAAGTGTCAGTATGTACAAACATACACGACCTTGTGCCGTAATAAGGTGAAGGCCGCGCGTGGTTTCCTCTCAGCGCAGCGGGAGCGGCGCGCGGCGCACGCGTCCGAGTGAAAGATGCAGCCGGTGCAGTTCCGGCGCGGACGACGCTGCACTCGGTCACTGGGTCAGCCCCACTCGGCGGCGCCGCGGCCGGCTGGTGGGTGCGCGCGCGGTGCCGTACTGCGCGCGCTCACAGTGCTCGTTGCCATGGCTGGTGTGGCTGCACGCTAGCCCCATGCCCAGCGCCGCCCGCGCCTCCGCCGCGCCCTCGGCTAGTGCTCCTCTCAACGTCTTCTGTTGGTTGCAGGCCACTGACTGACTGCACTGTGACCATGAAGAGGACCAGGTTGCTGCTGGTGGCCGCTGTGCTCTTGTTACGGGTGAGTCCACTTTCTTAATTACCCCAACAGTGAAAATAAGATAAGTGTGCAATGTCAGATATTTTAAAATTAATAAATAATCACTAAATCTTTTGCAATCGTGTCAGTCTATAAACAGCAACACTTTTAGAAACTGATGAAGTTATTCATGGTCAATTAAGTAGTTAATGAATGAAAATTCTAGTTAGCAGAATAATTTTAAGAAAGTTAGAATTGTTTTAGTGCACACTTTCCTATTTTCTCAATAATTTAATTATTTTCATATAAACATAGAACCACTAACCATAAAGTAAGCTTTTAAACGCGGTGATATTACGTGAAATAGGTAGTGCTATTAATTGTGGCAAAATTGTGCCGATTCAACGAGAGCCTTTACAGATAATGCATTTATAGCATACGATATTTGATGCCCCACTGGGATATTATTATGACATAGTAACACATAACTCCTAATTGAAATAATAACAGTTAGCTACATGATGCTGGCAATCATCGACCGCGTGCTGGCTCCGCTAGTCCCGCTAGGTGTATCAGAGCAGCTAACAGTCTGACCTGATCCAGGGACTAAGTATCGCTTATCCATTGCCAATCACTAATTCAAACGCTAATGATAGAATAAGTAGTATCATCCATCTAACTCGTCCAGTTCTCGAGAAACAAAGATACGGTAATATTCTGTCGCGTCGCGTGACGTCCCGCATCACAAAGTAATGTCTACTAACATAATTTAAAGAATAACGTAAATAAGCGATGTTACATGGAGCGTGGCTCACTGCTCAAGTAGTGGGTAGTGCAACTGTGCAACTGTGCAATCACGTAAGTGTGGAAGGCACGCGGTGCTCTGTCGAACGCTTCTACATTATTCAGCTTTTTCCGCTCGCGTTCTCGCCAACTAGGCTAATGATTCCGTTAGCACATCCACAAAACAGTGGACCATTGGAAACTAACTGCGTATGCTGATACGTGTATTAAGTGCGTACCGGAGAAGCGAATTTAAATGCTGTTAATTGTTAAGCTTCACTCGCTTCATTATCATACGCGTTCCATCTGGACATACCGACATACATATTATGTACGAAAGTTACCACGTTACAAGTGTGTTCCGTTAATTGAATTGGCGGCAGATACCTTACATAATGTCAATTTCAGTCCCATTCAATAAAACTTTAATGGCCTCCAACAATGGAGTAGTCGTTGACCGTCGTGGTAGCATCTTTTTCTACGAGCACTTTCACTGATATTTCGCATCTTTGTCAGGAAATGACGTAATCCGGTTGTGCAAGTGATTCCGTTTTTGACCATGACGAAGATCTCGCTAAATGTCTAAGAACAATCGAGAGTTAGGTAGCCTTCAAATGTGTTGTAATAGTTATACATTATTGTTGACATTAATCGTATTTCGATTAGTTAATAAACCGCTTATTAATCAATGTTTAGTCTAAAAAGGAAAGTTCGTTTGGAGCAGGTTTTAATATCGAGCTTAATGTCACTTATAGTCAATTTCATAATTCATATAACGCTTGTAAAAATATGATAATTTATTAAATATTTTAGTTGATCACATAATCGAACATAAAAATAATCTTATGAATTTCTCTGAATATTAATGTTTATTATTTCTGATACATATGTATAAAATAAAATTTTGTTAACAGTTAACCAAATTATACCTAGGATTACACTCAACGGAATTTTGTTTGATTCGCTAATGGTTTGTCTAGGTCTAAAAGTTTGTATTCTGTGCTGTTACACAGGGCCAACTTGGAGACAAAAACATTTATTATACGTAACATTTTTAAGGTATTTGAAAACCTAGTGTTTAAAACTACGTTTACGGTACGTAATCCGCCTATTTTTACAAGTTGACTGGAGAAATTAGCTGTCGTAAATAGCAATCGAGTTTGTCTCGCTAATCCATGTTAGAAAGCAATTGTAAAGAATGTGTAAACTAACGAACGCTTTCGATTGTCGGCCGGATTCATAGGCTACAATGTCATTCATTGTCTATTCAAATCAATCCACTAACTTTATTTATGTAGATTTTTATATTCATTAAAGTTTATAGTGTTAAACCTTAAACTCCTTCAAACCTATAGGTTAACAGGTCTCATTAATTTTCTTTATCTGGTGTCCATACTTTCTCGATATAAGGCGAAAGTGTTCACGAGGATTTGTAACTCCGCGTTCGAAGTTCAAGCACATGGCATTTACCGTGGTTAGTTAACAGCACGCCTGCCGCTTGCTACGAACGCCTGCCGCATGTTATCATGTCTATATGTAACCACGTGTTCCCTTAAAAGGTGTCTCTAAGATCACATTGTCAAAAACATTCGCTTTGTTTTGCGATGATTAAGATCTTCACACTTGTTTTCCTGAAGGAAGAAATGTGTTTGAAGCACTCACTTTGTACCACAAATCAACTGACCTTTAAATTCTTTCTGAAAAGTACAATCAAATCATTTTTCCTAGTTCTTGATTAAGGTAGGCACCTAGTACATATATTTGATAGAAATAGATGAATGGGTATGATCATTGAGATTCATCCAGATTCTTCGAAAACAGTGTCTATAAAACGAGACGTTATGCACATGTATCCCATAAAGTCGAGGCTGACCAAACTCCGTTAAAAGAACTGTAAGCATTAGAAACAGTCTTGGAGTACCGGTGAGCTGAGCAACTCACTAACGCAAACATTACTTTGGTTGTAATGTTATTTGACCAGACAGACTTGTTACAATGTCCGTGCCATTGGCGGATACAAACGAATTTTTTATTCAGTTATTTCTTCGCTTCGTAGCATTTTTGCGGTATGTACTTGTGACAGTTATAAGTTGTTTAACATTGTGAAACTGTCATGAGTCGGACAGGTTGTGTCGTCTGATCGTGATCGTCGGATAGTGCACGCATCGAGCAGTGAGCGCTGGGCACACTTCCCACGGACTGGCACGATACAAATATTGTAACGTACTAGAAACAATACGAGCCGCACAGGGAGAGCTGTGGGAGACTACTTGTACAATTTATTTCGTTCACATATCTCGTACTTACATCGCACATTTGTCACAATAATCTCATTTCAAACTTCAGTCGTATTGGACTCATTTCAAGATGCTAATGAAGGTGATCATTAGGTAACTTTAAGAATTATTCATTCAAGACAATACAAGGCCAAAGTTTGTAGCCTAAAGTATATGACTATTTTTTGACAGCATCTACCAAATCTGACAAGACAGCTTCTATGTGAATTCCGCAAATATTTATGAAGGTAGGTACCTATATGCAGAAACATATATATTCTCCACCCTAACAGGTAGTTGTCACGTAGTTAAACAGAAACACAAACAAAAATCCGGTTCTACTCAATTCTCGTTCATTTAAACAACTTTCTTCTGACTTGTACTAATTTTTGTACTAAAGTATGTAGACACATCAGTTTACGAGCTTCAGAACCTCATCTTACATAACACGGAGCACTCTTCAACGCTTTTATTGCGATTTCATTTTGATAAAAGCTTTGCTTAATTTTATGTCAATAAGATTTTAATGAGGTATACTTTGCTTTCTTTATCTTTAATAGGTTTGACCCTAATAGTTAAGTGGGCCACAAATGTAAATACGAAAATTGTTTGGTAACGACTTCACACTTTTGAATTGGATACGTTTTCTTTCACTCTGTCAATAAAGTTATTCCAACTTTTGTGAAGCACCAGAAACCTGTTCCACACAGTTTATAATGTGTATTACAAAGATGTAAACAATATGTGTATAAACTTCAGGCAATTTCATCTCTTAAATATTTTCCTTATAAATAGACCAAACTATTTATAGTGATGATAGTGACCCCTCATAGATGATGATGATAGTTTACTATAATACTCTGAAAGTGTCGCGGAGAACCAACGGGTAACCGGGGCTCCGGCTCGACGTGCAGGAGAAGGAACAGGGTGATTAGTCAGTAAGTGTCTGACACTACCTCCCGCCTCACCCAGGCGGGAGCAGTTATTCGATGATATTTCCCCCCTTAAAAAAAAAACCCCTGAAAGTAATAAAAAAAAAACAATATAATTTATTGCAAACTATTCATAGTTTCAGCCTGTTCATGAAAAGCGACTTCTCATACCAGAATGTCAATAAAAAGAAAATTGTATTTAACTCGTCGAGTACCGGTTTTGTAAACACAACTATAGAACAATAGGTTGCGGTCACCGGTGACCGCTTGGTGTTTGACAGTTTAAGAGCTCATTTCAAACAATTAAGACTGTAGAAATCTTCTAAAATTCTTCAGTCTTGCTGTAGTTGCGTGTGTAGAAGTATTAAAATAAGCAAGGGGGAACAAATTCGGATATTTCGGGTGGAAGCGGATGTACGGGCGGTGGATACTTTCACCTGCGCTCGTGCACGGCACCTGTCGTCTCTCGCTCTGGTGACGCGCGAGCATGCACGGGTAATCGTCTTTGTCCCAACCCACCAATTACATTACTTACTCTAATGAACAGTATACTAAAAACATGTAATATTGTGTTCTCGCGCAAGTTACTAAATTGATGTCCATAATCTAATATCGATTAAAATATATAGGTAGGTACTGTTAAATAATAGGGAAAATTCAATAAATTGTCTTAGCTATAAATAAAATGTTCAATAATACTTTCCAAGTTTTCACTTATACAAAAACCTGGTGGACATGTAGTATCATCTCGAATCGATGCGTCAGTCTATTTCAAGTATAACACGCTCCCAATGGAAATTGCCAAAGAAAGCTCTATATAGTTGTCAAAGTTGCGCATGTTTATAGGTCCGGTGTTTTCTTCCGCAACTCACAATCTCGATCAGTGGGTAATTTCTAACCGGTTTAGAAAACGCGAGCGTCGTCGCTACGCACCGGGCGCGCGGCGCTCCCGCTGCCAACCTGCCACTTGCTATTCTTACATACTAACGCTTATACCAAACGACAGCCTCATCAACTCTCTCGCCATATTTTCCTAGTCTAACATCCAAATACAGAATAACCCAGTATATCGACCTGAACACGCATGCGTGTTGCAGTGCTCGGATAATATCAACTAGATCTTTGTCAAAGTAAGAATTTTAAAACATTCGATAATTAGTTTAAAAATCAGTTTTGGTTTTTTAGTTTAAAAAGAATTCATGTTAAATTATTTATAGGTATGTTAAACTAAACGCTTAATGTACATGTACCTCTAACAAGGTCTGCTAGTATTTATAAAATATACTTAAGTATCGTGAAAGCATTCGTGTAATTCATCTTAGCAATATGATCGTACTGATTAATATTATAATTGCTCGTGCGAGCTATCCATCAGTGTAGAAAGTCGGAAAGAACGTAGCGCGCGCCGCTCGCGCTCGCAAGATGAGGCGAGGGCGCTCTGCGCACGCGCTCTCGTAGCGCGGAGTATCTAGAGTGAGACGCCTCTCAGGAATGTTCTAACGCTGTTATTATATTGTGTGCAGTCGCAACCACTGTAGCAATGTGTCCACTACCTAGTGCACGGTTAAATTCATTATACTTATATATTCCCGTAGTTTCATGAGATACGGTACACATTTAATACCTCTGATTACCCCCATAATGTTAACCACGCAAAAAATAATGTATGGCTTTCTTTTTCCAGGAAGCAACATGCGAACCTCCGGTAGACTCGGCTTCGTTGCCTTTGGAACATCGAACAGGGGCCGGTTACGGGCCGCCACTACCCCCCTCGCACACAGACGACCCATGGCCTCTGGCAACACCGGATAGTCCTAAAATAAAGCATCTGCAAGTTCAATGTGAGAAAACACGCATGCGTGTCAATATAGAATTTGACCGTCCATTTTACGGTATGATATTCTCTAAAGGATTCTACAGTGACCCTCATTGTATGCATTTGAAGCCAGGAACTGGTCATCTCAGCGCCACTTTTGAAATATTCCTCAATAGCTGCGGAATGAGCAGTTCTGCAAATCACAATGTAGCAACATATGGAAGTCCTACACCTAGTGGTTCCTACGTGGAGAACACTATCATTGTCCAGTACGACCCTTACGTCCAAGAAGTATGGGATCAAGCAAGAAAATTACGATGCACGTGGTATGACTTTTACGAAAAGGCAGTTACATTCCGACCATTCCAAGTGGACATGTTACACGCAGTCACGGCGAACTTTCTCGGAGACAACCTGCAATGCTGGATGCAGATACAGGTTGGAAAAGGACCTTGGGCTTCAGAAGTGTCAGGCATAGTGAAAATAGGACAGACTATGACAATGGTGTTAGCAATCAAAGATGATGAAAACAAATTCGACATGTTAGTGCGAAACTGTGTGGCACATGATGGCAAGAGAGCACCAATACAGCTTGTCGATCAATATGGTTGTGTAGTAAGACCCAAGATTATGAGCAAATTCCAAAAGATAAAGAATTTCGGTCCTTCAGCTTCAGTGGTATCCTTCGCATATTTCCAAGCATTTAAATTCCCCGATTCAATGAATGTACACTTCCAATGTGTAATTCAAGTGTGCAGATATAACTGTCCTGAACCTAAGTGCGGTGGACTCGGTGCTGATTATGGAGTTCCTTTGTTAGGTGGAAATACTCTGGGTGCCGAAGAGTATGGTGTACCCAATTCTCCTCACGCGGAATATGGTCCTCCACCGCCAGCCCCTCACGGAGAATATGGCGTCCCACCTGCGTTCCCGGACCCGCGACATCCCGCGGATGCGACAGGATCCTTCTCGGAAAAACGCGATGACGCTGTACCACCTCCACAAGCACAAGTGTCATCGACACCAAATGCACCTAGTCCATCATCACCAGCGCCCGCACGCGATGAAGATGAAGTCAACCTGCCTCCCCCACCTCCTCCAGGCCGTCGCGGCGTATACAACACAGTTAAAAGGAAAGATGACGCTCACGTTAATCTAGCAACATTAGGAGGAAGACCGCGTTCCGTCGAGGACCTTCCAGAGAGGCTGGTCGGCGTCAGGCGGAGACGAGAGACATCCACGCCAACAAGAATATACAAGCGTGACGCACAAGAAATGACTGACGTCAATACTAGTCGAACGATCCAGGTGGTGGCGCCTGGAGACGTGAACTTCGCATTAAACAATGCCGCGGCGAACGAGACCGTCGTCATTCAGTCTCCGGCGAGTGATCCGGAGACAATATGCATGTCGGTGCCGTCGTTCGTGGCGGGACTGGTTATGTTGCTGCTAGTGCTCGTGGTGGCCTCGCTAGTGGCCGCCTTCCTCTTCGTGCGCGTGCGCGCGCTCGACAGGAAGGGTGCGCACGGAGCGACCGCCTACTACGAGACGGATTACGTGAAGCACACTAATTAGCGGTAGAAGCGGTGCGAATGTGACGCGAGGACGATTCACAAACTTTACTCGGATCCAAAGAGCGTGCGCGTTTCGGCCCCGGTCGGACGGCGCGCGGGCGCTGTCGCGGTCGCGATCGAAGCTCGGTGACTGTGTCAGATATTTATTTAGTTTGTAATGAGCGTGATGTATATGTACGACTGTTTTTGTAAATTATTTTATTCGTGTGAAAAGCACCCTGTATCATCGCCTTGTAGTCGATACGTCTGTTGTAATTTTGTAAAGAGTCGTAAGTAAGGTTTTAATGTTAAGTTAAATATTAATTAAACATACCAATCAAACGTGTCTTGTGTGATGTATCTTTAATTAACCTTTTATGTGTTTGAGGCGCAAACACGTACTTAACCAGTAGGAACTAGTAGGTAGTACCTACCCAGCCTATTTTGAACATCATCGCAAATCGATAAATATGTAGCTATGTGTAGATATGTAGCTACATATCTATGTATTATTCACGAACAGGTACAACAGTTGTGGGTACTATTTACTAGGTATACTTACATCAGTCCGATTATTAAAAGTAAAAAGCCATTGCAATAAGTTTTTCTTTTAATAACCAATGGCTTATCTGACAACAATACATAAATAAAAATTGTCAATAGCAAACAAATTCTCTTCTATGAAGTAAAGTTAGACGCATATAAAGAAACAAGTACAGCGTGTGTATGAATATTTAAATCTATCACCAGCGAGCTCGGCCACTACTATACTAACTTACTCTTTACATAGTCTTATCTCCAAGGAGGTATCTTCTTCAGACCACCAGGCCTCGCTTGTCGGTCGTGGCGAATCAAGGTCATGCACGAAGGATGATCCTCTCTCTCAGGACTCCTAGTACTGCTACACAACAACCTTAACCTCATATCATTGCTTTCTCCTATAATATCTATTAAATCCTGTCAACAAATACAAATCATTAGTATTTCTAATATGATATTACTAAATAGTCTGACTACAGCGTAAGCCGAGTTTAGAGCAGAGCCAAGTAGTCTCGGGTTAGAATCCCGGGTTAGACAATTTCCTTGTTTCAAGTTCGAAATTACCTATCTAGTGTAAGTTAGTGTTGCTTCTGTTTTCTGTTTTCAGGTCTCACTTAGTTTCTTTTTATATTTATAGCTCAAGGGCAAAAGGCTTCTGGATAAAGTATAAAAAGCAATAAAATAACAATATGAAGGGGTTTGACACCTTACATCCTGGAACAAGGGAAGATCCACTGCGACTGTTCTTTCTGGCCGCTTCAACCGACATATATCAATTCGCGGCAGAGACGACTCGGCTGAGGTGCACTCAAGGCTAGTGGGCGTCACATTAGGCTTACTGGGGTTTAACGAGCTTTTTTTACGAGTGCCTGGTTTGGGATCTGGGCTGTGTGAGCTTAATTTGCGCGGATTAGAGCGGCTTGAGATTTCACAGCGTATGACAGTGCTGCAAACAGCAGGGCTGCGAACATTAGGGCTGCGTGGCGAGCAGACGGCAGTTGCGCGGCTTCGCGAGTTTATACATCGCGGCAGCGGGCTCCGAGGCGTCCTTGGAGCCTTACACTGGCAACCTCTGCTTACGCTTGGCAACGCTGACTTTGTTTGAGTGCTCTTATTCTTCATCACGTGACGTGGCACGATAAATTGGAACTAAACATTCAGAAATAAAAATTATTGAATTGGAAGTGAATAATTATGTTACTTCAACTTATTGAACTTATTAATTGAAAAGGTTGTTTTCTAGGAATGCCCATCCCATTATAGGTACCTACAGTGCGAGTGTCGTAAGTAAAACTTTCGTAAAGTTAGTTTGGAATGGTAGAAACTTTGACAGTGGCGTACATAATGGTCGCGAGACGGCGACGGTGGCGAGGGCTGCGCGCGGTACGTGCGGCACAGCCTGGGCACGCGCCGGCTCGGTGAGGGCTGGGCCTCGGCCTGGGATCTGCGATGTCTCCTACGGTTGCGTGGCCGCTCCAGCTTCTTCTCTTCACAATTATGCGATTGAGTCTAGATGTTCCACAATTTACATAAAAAATATTAAGCTTTCACTAAACAAAACACTAATCACAAATATTTCATTTTAATTATTTAATCAATAAAAAAATTCACTGATTCGTCATTCAATCTGTTTCCAACGAATTAGACTATAGGTATTGTATGCGTAGTGGCTGGTCAACCGGCTATTGCTCAACGTACCTATTGTGAACGAACAATATTAATTAATTGTTCAGAAACAATCATGTTATGTAAATAAATATAATTCCTTCTTAGCGTGTATTACACACACGCCACAGAAGTCCCACTGTGTGGGTCTACATTGAAGAACCGTTTATTGGGTAAGTCTGTATACCTGTAGATACAGTGTTAGCAATAAGACATTGAAAATAATTAACCTGTGCGCATTCGTGAGGAGTCTGTGGCACTGATAGCAGCGGCGACAGGGGGCGACGACGGCTGGGCATGTGCAGCCTGGCACACCGCGCTCTCGATGCAGTTGGCAGCGTTGAGCAGCAGCCGGCAGAGCTCGCACTCCGTCGCGGATGATGCTGTCCATTACGGCATAAAACCCATTTACTTACAAAAAACCTACAATACGGCTCCAAACAATCAACTGTCACATGAACGAACCTAAATCAAAGTATTAAGTATTGGCTTTTTCTCGAAATAAATTGTTACATTATCGAATCAATCTATCAATTAATAGGGTTAAAAAATAAAATACCTATATAACAATGAATTTATACAAGTAGGGTACATGACAACTAGTCAATTTACTTTTAACGGAATGTCAAAGACGATTTCTATAAACTTCTTTCTTAATGGAGTTTAAATATTCAAAATTAAACATATCGTTATATCAATCAATGAAAGTATTGCAATTTTTGAATGTTTTATTGTATAGAAAAGCCGAAATATTATATTTTTGACTATGGAAACTACCCAGTTGGAAAAAATTTAGATACGTGCACTACTACAAAGTACCCATTACGGTGAGTTACTGTGAAGCTTGTGCATGACAAACAACAGTAGCGATAATGTGGGATGTCGGAGCTGGAGCAAGGCTCGTACATCGGAGGCAGCACCTGGGTCGAGGTGAGAGCAGCCGGGCGCTGCAGGCTCTGTGGGCACTGGAGGCGCGGGCGCGGGCGCTGGCACGCACTCGTGGTCCCCGCCCGCGTTGCTACCGTGCACGTGGAGCTTTATATTGTTGCGTACCAGGTGCGGCTTGATCTCTTCAAACCACACGTCACATAACTAAAACCACAACAAACCCTATCTTCAAATACTTTCTACAATAATTTTGATATAAATTGTTATTTGACTTAGGAGCAGGTAGGTATTATTAGTATTACCTACTGTTTGTTTGGAAAACAACCTTCTTTCTTTAAAAACCTCCCGTTGGATAAAGAGCCTATATGTATCCCTGTTCCAAATTTCATCCCCATCCCTTCAGCCGTTTCAACGTGTTTGAATAACAAACGTACATAGGTAGGTACACAGTTACACACAAACACATACTCACGAACGCGGAAACAAATAATCTTTCGCATTTATAATATTAGCAGTACCTATAATATTAGCAGGATTTTGATATTTTCATTTGACTTTTATGCATGGCGCTGGCAAAACCTGTCAGTTAACAGTTTGGTAAGCTCAATAGGAAGGTACCTACCTATACATAGTAGCAAACAACAATTTTTGTGTAGTAGGTATGAATAGGTACTGGCATTAAATTTATTGATTTGAGACACATTACATTTAGAGACACCTATACAGATTTACACCTTGTAGGTACTTGTCGAAAAAGACCAAATATTGTTTTATATTTTTGTTCAGGCACTTACACTAACTAAAGCGTTCTCCAAATCGTAGCGCACACTTTTGGGTATTTTGTTTTTGCTCCTACTTCGTAACGGTTCTGGGTTTGTGCGGACACTGCGGACAGTGCATGCGACGGAGTCACCGGACGCCTTGGCGAGCGATCCGTCTTCGCTAGCGACCACTTTACGTATCCGTGGTAGTGACATTATTACGCGCGCAGCGTAGTCCTCACCATTGAAATATCAAAACGAAGTGAGTAATGCACAAATCTACACTAATCCAATCCTTTGCTTAAAAATCATTAAAAATAAGATTATATAAAATAAATGTCAAAACCTGCACTTTCAACTGTTCTGTCAACCACCTACATTTTTTTTATTACATAATAAAAATAGACTAGGAACATTACATCCATCGACAAGAAAAAGGTGTAAAACTTTCATTTTATACTTTTTTGATAAGTTGTGGGTACACAGAAACTATAAAGTCATACCTACCTACAGCAATTTTTAATTAACCTTTGGAAATCTTGATTGATCCAGATTACTATAGTTCCTGCTTTGATCGATATCAAAAGAAGACAATGAATAAATCGACATGGAAATGTATACTGAGTGCCGGATCGTCGAAAGTTTTTGGCTTCGGCTTGAAGATGCTGGAGATAAATATTTTCAGAAACGTGGAGCCGTCCGACACCGCGATCAATGAAGTATTGTTCTATGGAGCCGGGGACGGGGACGAGAAGCAGGTGAAGCAAATAGCGCAGAACAATCTGTATTGTATTCGGTTCATAATTGTAAACGCCAGTAAGACAGTTGATGTATGCGTGCCCAATCTCAGCAGCGAGACCCTCGCCAAGTGTTTGGTGACAGTCCATCAAAACAATAAAGTGAAAATCAGAATTGCCATACACAACAGCGACGATGACGACTTGGAGAATCTGCAGTTGTTTGCCAAGAATGGTGTAGAAGTAAAGGTGCTGAGTCCCGAGGTGCGGCTGGAGCACGAGTTCGTGCTGGTGGACGCGCGTGCGGCGGGCGACGCGGTGGCGGCGCTGGGCGCGCTGGACCTGGAGCCCGACTGTCTGGCCAGCGACGCCACGCTGCTCACCTCCGAGCCCAGCGTGCTGACCGCGCTGCGCCGGGAGTTTGAACGAGTCTGGAACTCTGACTCCGATATGACACGTGTGCGCTGCGACTGATGATAATCATAATTCATTCAATTTCCTTGTGTGTTTGTTGGTATTATTGTGTACGTAGTTAGTTTAAGAGTTGATTATTCTGATTTTATTTAATGATTAGTATACTGTAATTGTCGGTTATATAAATAAAAGGTAGCAAGTTAACAAAAAATACTTTTAATTTCATCGCTCGATGAGACAATAATAATTGCTTCTTTACATTATTTGACATTAATATTATAGTAAGAACTATAAAACGTTTGTACTCCAGTGCCGTTATTATTCTAAGGATCGATAGTACATAAATATATAAAACTTCTATTGTGACATTTATAAATGAAAAGGTGACAACAGTATCACAGTTTACTTTGTAGTCATATCATATTTTATGGACAACTAATGGAAACGTTTCATAATATTCATTTTGTTCTTAATTTTAATAGTAATTTTCATGTCTTTTTATTACAAGTATTATATCATTATATCATTAATAAAGTCATATGTAAATTATAAAAAATATCTTGATTGCTAATAACATTGAAACAATAATACAACGACATTAACTGGAGGAATTAAATACGCAAGGTTGTATGTACTTGTGAACGGTAACGGTAATAACAAGGTGGTGACACGCACATCCAGGAAACAAGTATTTACAAACTATCAATAGTAACATTTCCTAAAGAAATCAGATTTAAAAGAAATCTTTGGGAAGACCATTATTTTATGATATCATACAACTTGGTATCTACTTGACACAATTCCATATACACACAAACAATAATACATTCACATAAGATTGACATAATTTCCATGCATTCAGCCCGTACCGAGACGATTCTACAAAATAATACAATGTTTTAGATCATTATTCTTAAATATAAATGTAGTAAAATATATTTTACAGAATTAAAAAAACAAGTAAAATGCTATCAAGCTAATTTGTAAAAGCTAGTCACACTAAGTATTCTTATGACAATCATACTATAGAGGATAAAGTTTATCTGAGAACATTAATACTAAAATTAACCCTTTAACCGCCGACAACGTAATATTACGGTTTTCGAAAGCTGTGTCCGAATCGCCACATACGTACAATCACGTTATTTTATTAAAAATCTTCTTATAGAGCACAAACTCCATATAAAATGTGTCAATTTCAAGATGTAGGGTATAATCTTTATTGTTATGGATATTTCTCAATGTTTTGAGTGATAAATACTGTGAAATTTGAGGTTTAATTAAATTGTGGTCACCGTCTCCATTATCCGTATCGCCAATCACTTAATTTTACGAGTACTAGGGATGGGGCGAATTCGAAAAATACTTAATAGGTTGTCTAAGAACAAACAAGGCACTATAGATATTACTGTCACTATTTGCAATGATAGTGTATACTTTCATTAGAAAATAACCATAGTGTTACTTTGATGCAAGTATTTGTACTAATTAAAATGTATTTAAGTTTAAAATTATTTAATATTTATAACAATAATATAAAAATTTCATAACGCAGAACCGCACTAGTGCGGACAATCGCCGGTCGCCATCACCGTAATATTACGTGCGGCCAAGGAGATTAAAGCGCTGTATTGTGAGTTGCCTTAGCGCCGTCACCGTAAAATCACGTTAAACATTTATCACTCAATGCAACTAGTGTTGTAAACCCTTTTTTGGGTTTTTGTTATTTCTCAAATAAATCAACACAGTCAAAACCAAATGTGTCCATTATGCAAAGTTAGAAGATGGTGACGCAAAGTTTTTGATCAGAGACCAAGTGATCCACGAAATGAATACTTTGCATCTTTAAAACCTTTTGTTCTGGAAACCGTACTGTCGGAAATCCGCTCAGAAGTTTACATGAAAATATTAAATTAAATACGACATGCTCGTGGAGCATCGTCACCGTCGCCAGCAGGAGAACGGAAGACGCCGTGTCCATTTCCCGAATACACATTTTCGTATAACTTCGTTTGAAGATTGAAAATTTTTAGATTATTTATTAAGTAGGTAAATAAAACATTGATTTTAATTTTTTAATGATTAAAGAATATATGCATCGATATTAAGTGTTTCCAACACTGTTCCAACTTATACCTAAAGTGACGTGGCGCTGGAGGTAAGTTGAAAGTTCAGAATCTTGGCGGTTAAAGGGTTAACTACTATGCTGTCTATGTTCACCGAGTTAAACTAATTTGTCACATACTCAACAGCAGACAATATACTTTGGATATTTAAGTACTCAATTTAAGTATCTATTAAACCTATACACACAATGTCTATTATATTAAAATTCGATGGACCCAACAAATCATTCCAGTCATGAAAGATAAGAATTTTCCCAGCTTTAATTCAGGCAACCAATGTATAATTAGTATCTCAGCATACAACAGTTGAACATACGCCGGCGCCGTCCTAGAGCATTGTCGCAGTAACTAGTAGTGAGACTCGCAGCCGAGCCCCGAGCCCCGGCCGTCCGCGCGAGCAGGCACACGCCTAGTCACTCGCGAGGGACAGCTCGTGTCATACGTCCACCTCGATGTCGCTGTTCGCGTCTTGCGACGCCGGCGACTGTGGCGACTGTTCCTGCTCGTCCAAGTCTTGCATATCGTCCATGTCGTGCATTTCATGCATGTCCTGCATTTCGTGCATATCGTGCATGTCGTGCATATCGTGCATATCATGCATCTCCTGCATGTCATTCATATCGTGCATATCAGTTGGAGAGGCGAGTGTGTACTCGTGCGGCGAACTCAGTTCCTCCTCCCCTGAGCCAGCAAACTCTTCATCCATCATTATAGTGGCTGGTAGTGATGGAGACACTTCTTGTAACTGACTTGTGTACACTGAAACATAATGTGATTTTTTTATACATACCTATCATACCATAATATAGTAAGATAATTGTGTCTATTAAGGGAATAGTTTATTTAACATAACATCACATCAACAAACAAACAAATATGTTTATTTCCATTTTGTTCACATATACTTAATCTAAGCTTATTATTTAACTATTCTACTAGGTAAGTTACAATACAATGCCTGTATTATCAAACACATCACTGCTGACCAAAGACCTCTTCTCGCATGGTTGACCAAAGACCTGTTCTTGCATGGAGAAGGTTTGAGCATTAATCACCACACTTGCTCAATGCAGGTTGGCAATTTCAAACTTATAATATTTTCATTCACCCTTTGTCAGTGATGTCTAAATAATCGTAGAAAGTACATAACATGGTTAATAAATATTTTACATTTAAGTATATTGTGGATTACCTTTGATATTGGAAGACTTGAAATCAGCAGAATAATTGAGAGATTCCTCCATAGCCTCCATGGTGAGAGTGTCAGTATCCAGGCTGTCCAGAGATCCGGAACATGATGGTGAAGTATCAGGATTTGTATTCAGTGTAAGCTGTATATTGTCTAACTGAGGTATATGTGGTCGTACCTAGAACATATATTAGTCATTACATTATTTACAATGACTAAGGAAGTAATAGATCGCATTATTAAATATGTAGGTTAATAAATGTATAAAATTATATTATTATTATCATAATTTAATATTACCTTCATCCCATCAGGTCTGTGAGGATTTCTACATCCTTTACACTTGCACTCTGTGCATGGCTTACTCTCCACATAACATGGACACCGCTGCCCGCAACATGTTAGTTTGCCCGGAGTGGCTGTGGCATTACCACATCTGCAACCTTTTCTCTTACTGCTAGCTGAACTACGAGACCTGTTTGAGGGTTTCTTAAAACCTAATTGGCTTGACTGAAACAATAAAATGTAATTATTAATTAACTTTCTGCTTAATGTGTGTTTGTTAATAGCAATTTTAGAGCATGTTGAGAAAAATAGAAGATAGCTATTTGATAATTTTCTTACTTTACTTTCCCGACTCGACCCTGATTCATGTGCATCTAAGTCATCAACATTTTTTCTTTTAATAGTAATTTTATTTCCAGTGCCTGCGTACATAACTGAGTATAATGGAGACCCATTTGATGTTGATCTTGAGTTTGGTGAGCCTTTGGATGACCTGCTATCCGAGTTGTGTGAACTTGATGCAGCATGGGTTTGTGTGCCTGCAGAGTTAGTGTACACGCACGGCAGAATGCTGTACGCCGACTTAGACAGACCTGCTGTGCTTTTGTAGTCATCAGAAAAACCAGCACCTTCTTGTATTAAGTCAATTAACCCTGAACTGGCAACAGTGCCACCGTTTACGCCTGCGGCAATTTCGTCTTCATCCAGCAACGTCTTGTACACGTCTGTACCCATAAAATACTCGCACAATTTCTTGTAACACTGCAGGAGGATGCGTAATTGCAAGTTCTCACCATAACTTTCATAATCTTTACACCAACTACAAGAAGGTTTTAACTTTTTCCGTCCACCTTTACATTTTTTGCAAACATGATGTTGGCAGCTGGCGCTTGTTGGCGTATAAGGTTCTTTTAATAAGTTTCCACACACTGTACAAGATAAAGATTGTCGTAAATAAGGAACTAAACGAAATAAATCAGTCCATGACGACTTATCTGCTGCGTCAGCTAAGATTATTAATCGACACGTAGAAACATATAAACTAGTGGCATTCATTGTTATTACAGAAAATGTAACAAGGAGAACATTTACTGATTTATAAATTAATTTGTTTACACCAAGGTGCTACACAACCAAAAAGCCGCAAATGTCTCGTCAAAACTGTCATTGTCAAATGTCAAACTAATATTTTAGTAATAGAGTAGCTCGTTGAATGCACTCTGAGTTATTTTAGTCGATTTACACATTCGTCTTTATCTTACTAGTTTCTATTAATGAAAAGTGTGTTTGTTCGTTTGTTCTTATTTCACTTCGTAATGGAGTGATTTTATGGTTGAATGTTTGTAGTATTTGGAGATAGTTTGAATGCTGGACGTGGACGAAGACACAGTCCAATTTTCTTTACCCAATCAAATGAAGCCACTGATATACTTTATTAGTATGAATTCGCGTTAATACTTAGCATCAAAAGTAATAATAAATATGTATTAATTTATTATTTTGGTTTCTATTATCAAAAATAGTAATTTGATAACTTTACCCAATATCTGTCTGGAAAATAATTTTAATCTTAAAAGACCAGTTCTCGAACTATAAAATATGACGATCGAAGCAACAGTGAAAAATTTAAAATGCACAAACTGAGGTTTTCACTTAATTAGGTACAGCAAATTAAGTAAGTACTTGTGGTGATTTCGACCTAATACCGTATACCGTTAATACGTCCAAGCAATTTCAATTAGTAGGTACACTAATTAATATTTAACGAACTTATAACATCCATTTACCTGCTAAGCTGGTACTATATAAGGTTCAGAAGAAAAGTTTTAACAGTTACCAGTTATGGTTTGACCATGTAAAGAAGCAAATCGAGATTGTTTTTAGTAGCTAGTTATAGTACCTATTAACAAGCTTACCTACCCTCAATAATACAGGTGAGTCATAATAAGCATCTCACAAACTAAATAATGGAAGTTTGTATGCATTAGATCACAATATATATTTGTGCCTCTCTTCATCGCTCTGATTATCGTTCAAGTATGAAAAGGAATGATTGATAGTAGTGGTGTGATGTAAGTACCTATCTATTTTATGAACCTTTAACATGAAGATATTTCTGTGCGACGAAACTCCGATATGACGTCGTACAGTAGGTATTTATTAGGTACCTATTGATAGTCGGTATTCACCTAAATAAGCAGTTTGGTATCTAAATATAACAAATAATCTAGGTATGTACTATAAGTATCGAAATATTAATATCCCGTATAGCCCAATTCCAGATAGGCCGGTTGTAAACGACCCCTGTGAGCTTGTATTATGGTCGTCTGTTCATCTTGTGGGTGATCGTCCCGCAATATGACACAATATGAAACTGTTGTCGTCGGTGGCCTATCTAGGAGTTGTTGGGGAAGGTCTATGCTTACAGTAGACATCGTGTATCTGACATAATGAAGATTATGTTGACGGTAGCCTAATTTTCTACACCTTACTCATAGGTAGTCTGATTCCCGAATAGTGCATTTGTACCTGTACGACCCCAATCGGCAAAAGTTAGTTGTAACTTGGGCGTTTATTTTTCTTCGTTCTTATTATGAATTTCTAAATTCTCTATGCTACTAAACGGATTTGTGGGTAGGTATTTAACAACTACTTATAGATTGAACTATAGATTTTGGGAGGTTGTGGCGGGCTTGTCCCATAAAGAAGGAACTATAGGTAGGTAAGGTGCTTACCCCCTTCTGAAATTAATAGACGTGGGACTGTAGTTTTCTTACTGAGCTAGGTAGGTAACTCCTCCCTAAGTTACTAAAGACGTTTTATTTATGAGCAAGATAAGCATTCTTTTGCTAATTAACAGCGAGCGCTTTACAAGATGCGAATAAATGACACGACGACCAAAGCGACCGTTCTTGCTCTATTACCCAATTGAAAGCACTTAACAGTCAGCTTCTTGCCGAGCGAGGAGACACCAACTGAACAAATGTTGTGGTGACCTCGCCACAACTAAACAGTCTGCATCTACAGATAACTGTGTGTCATATGTATTCGTCACGAGTAAATTAATTAATACATTTTTTGAATCCATTTAAATGTTTTGCCACTTATCTAATGAGCTCGTTATAAATTCATTACGAGACTTCTTATCGCCATTTATTGGACTTCATATCAAAACAAAGACGTCCATTTACTTGACAAACATAGAAACTATTACAGAATAAACATAATCGACGAACCAATCGTAGCATTCAGATACGAGCGGTATCGCATAGTGGTAGCAACCTATCTGGGCCGAACGATCGCGGCCCGCGCCTTCATTGTCTCACAGCAGTGGTGAAACTAGATACAGGGTGCTTGGGCGCAGAAGGACGTGCTGATAACAGATTACAGCGTGTCACCAGTATCAGTTGATCCTCCGCCGCGGCAAGAGCTCCTCACCGCCCGCCTATGCTCTTGGCGACATCGCGACATCTGACCGACTGTGCATGCGACTAAACTAATTGAATCAATTCAACGAATGTCTTCCGTCGCTGATTGCAGCTCCCTAGTGCCCTCTCCGTGTTATATTAGTGCACCGCGAGATTCGACTCTATCCGCAGTGTTAGTGTTGTGAATAAGTGCTGGTGATGTAATATACCACAAGGTGGATACTTGGACCTGGATATAGTGTGAATGTGTACTGAAAGCACAATGAACAGGTACTTAATTTGTTTATTTCTCGTATCACTCCAGGCTATCCTATTCTTTTTATGATGTAGAGTACTCAGAATCTGCCAACTCCGGGTCCATCTTGTACTCACATACATACGTCTATTGATGTTGTAGATAGATAATATATTATATCCTTACTAGATATCATTAAAATATATTTGTGTTTATTTTGGCAATTTAGTGGAAAAGGATATATTGGTCCACCACACACAGGTTTATGTTAACTGCAGCCTGGAAAACTAAGGTTAAGTAAAACTAGATCGAACCTAGTCGACACTAATTTTAGTAAAATATAATAAAGGTAGGAATTCCACATGTGATTATTTCTTCTAAATTAGTTTATCAGTTAGTTTGATAACACATTATCATTCGTAATTACCTCGTTCACGAATTTCTGATTGTGAAATCAAATGATTGCATTCAAATTCCCATTGTATTATTCTAATAACTGGGTGAAAGTAAATACATTATTGTTATAGAGTTTACCAAAGATTATTGTAAACGCCTACCAATAATAATGCCCTCATTTAGAATTTCTTTTATTTAGGTACTCATGCTAAATAGCACGTTTTTCTTATACCTACACATTGGCTTAATTGATGACAGACCGAAACTAAATTAACTTTATTAGGTACTTTACTTTACTTCTTTACGGTTACTAAACTTAAATATTCAAACTTCGGAAAACTTAGTAGAGTAGATACGGTAGGTAGGTACCCACTTAAATATCGATGATGTGATGCCCCATTACAAAAGTAATGAAAGAATAGGTTTTTCGTTTTTTTGGAAATCTTCTGTACAAAGATCCGCATCATAAACAGCAAGATTATTATGTCTAGAAGGTTTTAATTTCATTTAGTCTCTTAGGTTTACTATTAAGTGTTAACCTAAATACCTGTTGTTCTGTGATTACTTAGGAGTTAGTGAATTCGTGAAAATGTGAATCTCACAAGTCTATGTTCCGGCTGACTCATCAAACAAAATACGTGTGTCGCGTAGATCTTATCAACATAACATTTATTTCGTAAAGACGTCAAGACTAAAGATTAGGCGTTCGTTAGTCAGTGCGTTTACAGCTAAATTAAATACCTGAAAACATGTTTTGTAACTGAAAATGAGGACACTGCGCTGACTGCGCACTGATCGTATTTACGTAATAAAATGAAAACTGAAGCAACAGTCATCTATCTGCGATTCATGACTATGTCATGTATCTCTATCAAATATCTATTTATTTATTAGCATAGACTGCCTCATTGGTCGAGTGGTCGCACGTATAGGATTCGATTTCCAGGTCAGGCGAAAGGGGCAACGACAAATTTTGTTTTTTTGGCAAAGATTCTGGATTTTTACCCAGTGTATACGGGAATAGAGGAACTAACCACAGGCCCATTCACATTATTATATGAGTAACAGTTGAATAGTGGGTGGTGGTACCTACATACCTCACCTCTACCTAATTTTTCGGGGATTAAAAGATATTTTTCGGTGATATCAAAGATAATTTCAAAATCAATATTTCGTTCTTGAATAAACGACGAAAATCTTTTAATTCGGCGTATTTATTTACCAAAGAAATAAGCATACATAACTTACAGTGCAGCTATTTTTTCAGCTGTACCTAAATATTGTCTAACAGACCCATTGTAAGTTATCACACCACTGAAAGTTTGCAATTAGCTTCATGTGTAGATGTTAGTAGTTGTTCGTTCTGCACTTTTATGTAAGAAACTTTTATGTTTGTGTAAGAAATGACAGTTCATTTCTTACATAAACAGTAGTTACTACGTCTAACATAAAACTTCAGGGAAAAAACTGTTTAAGTTTTCCTCTGTCTAGGTCATTTATTATGTAGAATATAATTGTTATATAGATATAGGATAATTATTCGTATAAATCTAATTAATTCCATTAAAGGAGCAATTCTTGTAAGTATCTGTACCTATGTACCTATCAACGATCTCGGAAACGGTTGCAGAGATTTTCTTGATATTTTGTATTGAGGGTTTCGGGAGTGATAAATCAATCTAGATTTTATTTTCAGAAAACGTCGTTTATCAAAAAAATATCGATTAAAACACACCAAAATCCTAGTATTGATTGATATACACTGAAATAAAAATCATCGAAGCTTTACAATGTCTAAAACTTTGCAACATATTTTGTCCTTAGTTTTGGAAGTGTTTACTGTTTAGGTACTAGAAGGGCCTGCCATGCGCATGACTAAGCAATCAATCTGATAATGGCTCATTTGAATCAATCCTTTCTGGAACAACAGCGGCAGGGCAGGGGCGTGGACTGTGCGGAGTGTGGGCACATCATAAAGATCAATCAGACAATTGGGGCCGCCACGCTTGCTGCGCAGGAGTGTCTCTCAATAGCTTCCGTTGAATGAACCTATCGGCGGACGCTCACCACTATCACCTGAAGTTTCAATGTTTATCGATGACGATTACATTTGTTTATACTTCCTTATAAATTGGTAGATTTATTGTAACTAATCTTGCAATCTTTGAGACAACAATTTGAAAGTCATCACGTAGGTACTTACTTAATAAAATTTTGAGATCATTATCTGTTTAATTACTGGGTGTACTATTGTATATGCCATTTTTATACTTATTTACTTTAACTAGCTGTAAACTTCGTGGAGTCGTACGTGGACAATCTCGAGACTAAGTGCTCATTTATTACAGTATTTTTATGAGGTAAAATTTTGCAATAAATGTAGGTATCCAATTAGGTACAATCAGTATAGAATATCTGACCTCATGCATAAAAGTGTATCGAAATTCTTGAAATAATTATTCGTAATTGTTATGTTTATCGCAATGAATCATTTGGTACTTCAATTCTCCTTCTTATTTCCCGCGATCGGGAGAGTCCAAGTCACCAGTTAAAAGGAATTAATTTGACCTCTCAGCAATTAAGATAGTTGACAGAGACCCCGGGATAACCACTGGATATTGCAATATATCGTCATTCGCGATACTCACTAAGTACATGTTCTATAAGCTGTTTGTACCTATCTAGTGTTTTTATGGTCTTAGTTGTGTGGCTAAACAAATAATAATATGACCATTCTGACGTCTAATTTGTGGGAATACGGATGGGTGTTAATAGTTTATATATCTTCATAATATAATAGGTACCGTTGTAAATAACTGAAAGTTGGCATAGCTACGAATGCTACGACTACGACACTTGGACACCCTTTTCGTGAAAATGTAAAGGAACTTTATTATATACTTATGTAAACATATGAACCTGACCTCTGACAAATTAGAAATGAAAAGGAACATGGTGTTTCGGCAATAGATTTGTCTTATCTATTTTTTACTTCACATCTTCAGATTATTTATTTATAGCAATGATTGCTACATGTAAGATTGTTAAGAAATGCCCGCCCTCATCTAGTAATTTGAAGATTGACGTATAAAAGTTTTACCTTGTAACATATTTGCAGATATAAATATAATTTCATTTCATTAAGGGTACCATACATTTAGGTTTGAGTATTTAAAGATCAAAGATTAATTTTAAAAACGGTTCAAAGTAGCTCCTTTCTCGAGTATTTGGTTTGACAACACTAACTAGATAACTAGAAAAGTAAGAACCTAATCAATGAGTCAGTGATGCAATTGGGTGATACGAGAATTAGAACGAAATAATTCGAAAGGGCAGGTTTATTATTGCTCACTATCTATAAATCAACTGATAAAATATAGTTCACGTTCATGTATCTTTTATATTCTTCACCTTGGAATTTTTATCTTGAGCCAAGTAAAATTATAAGTAAGTAAAATACTCACTTATCTGTCTATCTCTGTAGACTGAATGCTATCACGAATTACCTACACCGACCATAGTGATGTGACGAGAAATCTCCATTGCGTATTTAGGACATGGCCAATTATATTGTTTGATAGAATTTAGATTAAAAATCAGGTCATGACTGTATACAGTTGCACTCTTCTTCTGCTACGTATCAGTGCAACGTTGTTTGTACAAAAGTGATTAACGAGCCGTAAGGTTTATCATATTAGTGCTCCAATTACTTGGAAACAATAATGAGTAAACATTATAGACTTAACAGTTACGTGATTCTGGTCTTGTGATTCCATTTTCTGATCATGTGCTACCGCTGTGTTTCACGTGTACCGGCCGGCTCCGGTCGTGAGATATTTCATGTGTCGCAGTAGGTAGGAAGTAAGTAGCAATTTACCGAACAACGACAACAAAAGCGCCTGCGACCGGCCTGACAGTAGCAAGTAGCGACAGTAGCGCGACTCCCGCCCGTCCACACATCACGAGTGCTCGACTGCCCACGAGGATGCCATTCATTACATACTGCACCGCACCATTATTGCATTACTTTAAACCATCTAATTTCATATTATTTAGCTCCCATTATTTTCATTATCTCCGCTAACATTAAGTAAGAATAGGTAACCAAGTTGTTTTACAATGTCACCATATGACGTCACCAAATTACAGGTGTGTAGGGCAGAACGCAGTAAAAACGATTTTTTTCAGGAAACAGTTTCCGTGTTTATCATTCACACACAGTCATTGTAATATGTGTAATCAAATGAGTAATTTAAGGTATTTACTCGGTAGTAGATAGGCCCAATCAACACATTTCTGGAAAAGAGGAAGTTATAATCCTATCACATCAGTTGTATTGATTTAAGGATATATTTTGGTGGGAAAAACAACATCACCATGATGATGTAAAAGAAATTCCTACTATAATATCCATGTAACGTATGTATGTGGACATACTGCACATAGTAAAAAAGTGATCATTGAAAGAAAGATACAAATACTCGACTCGACGTTAAATCATTAAGCCTAAATTAATAGCAATGGATGTTTGGTAGCATGGCTACTTTGCTTATGATGCACAATGTTCGACTTATGGTCCTCAAATGCCACCTATACATGTATATCTAACTCGTATACTTAATTAAGCATTGTCTAATTGTGTGCAAGCAACGCTAGTGACATTACCAACAGGTGGCGCTGTGCACGGCTCACGTTTCCAGGACAAAGACCCAGAAACTTGAATCTTGACCGAGACATGAGACCTTAATTGCTATTACAATTTGCGCCTACGATAATAATTGTGTCCGTTACCTACTATAAGTGTCGTGTTAATAGTAAGAAGACAATATCTATGCGTGGGTCTCCGAGTTTTAAGTTTTATCGAAGGTTACGAACTGCCTCATTGAACAAAGATTTTGGTCTTTTCACTATCACCTCGTTGTAACTGTGAACAGGAAAAGAATTAAGACCTAGAAAATCTTTTATGAACTATTTTAGGAAAAACATTATACATGGACAATACATGCCCAAATAGTGTCAAAAGTGCTCAAATTAAACTTACGTTTGGAGGAGCAGTGATACTGAATGTATGAGATAAAGTTGGGTATCTATGATTCTCAAGTAGGTAAATTTCTATTGGGTGGTCTCAAGTCATATTGATTATAATGTTGGAACTAGAATCGAGTAGAATTGGTTAGATATGTGTGATGTGATACGCAATAACGCACGTGCGTATCATTTTCTAGACCAATGTGCTCCGAAAAGTTAATACATTTTCTAGATATTTTAATTTAATACTGATTTGTAATAGTAGATGAATGTATGTGACTCAATAATTTCGATAAATATTTATGGATAATTCCGTTTATAGGTACTTTATTTGCCTAGGAACTTAAATTGCAGCATTTTTCGTCCTCAGATTCCATTATTTAGGTATTGGAAAGTATTTAAGCGTGATCGCTGCGGCCGAATCTTAATTTAGGGTCGGGAAAAGATATGGTCTATGTCTTCTAACGGGAAACAGAGCTTTTGAATTTCTGGAATACCAAGATCTTAGTTGATTAACTTAGTATAAACTGAAAGTGTATTTCAAGTTAAAAGTAAACCTATTTTCGCTACTCATTATTTTGAACGGCCTGCCTTCAAAATATGCGGTAATATTTCCCGTTTAACATGCACAAAGCACTTATAATTAATGCTTTATAACTACGTTATCAGTACTGCTATCTATGTCATTTTATCATACTATGTATAAGATATATTAGTAGGTAGGTTGGTACAGTTTTCGTAACATGATTCCTGTTTGGAAAACTAAAACGCGGTCACTAATTTCGTCAGACACAATATTCAGCAAACAAAACGTTTCAGATCCAATAGGTACTGTTGAGTACAATAAAGGATTATTTTAACATTTTTATTACAATGTAGTTATTTAATTCACCAATTGATGTATTGAATAGACGACGACTAAAGATTGATGATGAGGCGAAAGATGTATGTAAGAATCGTAGCCATTGGCGTTTCATACTACCTACCCCCATGGGAGACAGGCGAGAGGATACGTATGTATGTACAGGTTTACCTACTTAGAACATTACTTTCATTCAGCAATGTAAATGATGCGTTACTCGGTTACTCCTCATTACCTTTACTGTAGGTATGTCTGTCATCGCTTCAATGGTTTTTAGGCAAGCCAACCAAGCGAACTATATGATGAAATTAATAATATCTTATTTTAAACTACATTTAATGGAATACAGACAAATCCTACGCAAGGATAATTTAGGTATCCAGACTAGCTAGAAAACAACTAGGAAAAATCTTGGACCGAAATGGACCTAAACGAAATCTTGGACCGAAATGTAAACTACAAGTATTTACTTAGCAGCAAGCGCAGAACCAACCACTCTCAAACATATCTAACCGAGTCTGGTACATAAATTAGGTAAGTATATAGGTGAGTAACTGAGTAGGTATCTTTTTTTTAAATAATGATAGATCAATTCTTCAATAGTCACAGAAACCACACAGTTCAATGAACTAATATACGGATTTCTTAAAAATACACTTGCGTTACTTATCTTATTGCCTACTTATCATAAAAATATGTATCAATTTAAGATACAGTATCAGTCTAAATAGGCACCCACCTAGTTATTGAAGAAAATGAAATGAACAATGAGAATACATTTATTTATTTTAAATTATTTCAGGATCAACTACATTTTTAACGGACAGCGCAGTTGACTGACTGTTTCAACAAGCGCATCTCTGTTAAACATATTGTTCGCCTAGGTAGGTCCAGGTTAGACTTTACGACAACTAGACCTAAAGTATATTACATACTACGTAACTGTAATATGTCGGCCACTTTTATCCCCTTCTGCAACTATCTACTTAGTTAAATCCATTATTTCTTCTTTATAAACTACGTTACACAAGTCTTTCAAAACTACGTTTAAATACACATAAACAAAAAACATACATATAGGCGAATTGATAACCTCCTCCTTTTTGGGAAATCGGTTAAAAAACCGATCCCCTCTTTTATGAAGTCGCTTAACCTTTCGTGTGTCTAAACGTGGATCCACGCGGACACAGTGTATTTTTTATTATGTCTCATATAGGTACGGGCGTTCAAGCGGTTAATTAATATACTAAAAACTTCTTCCAGTGTAACAAACACTTTTCTGAAAACCAATCGCAAGATCGCACACAAATACACATACATAGGTACATACATACATACATACAGGTCAAACTGAGAACCTCCTTCTTTTTTCAAGTCGATTAAAATAGAAAATCATGAGAGCATCGTAAAGACCGGTTTACATAAACTGCAGTGCAGCCGGGTAAGGTCAACAGAACTGATAACCCATACTGAGAAAATAAGCATCTACCTTCATTCTGACCCCAGCGACCCGAAGATGGATACAAACAGCGTATCTGTACTGCACGACGCGACGCGCTCTTGCGCCGATAGGCAGAGTTCGTTATTTTTCAAAAGACATCCTGTCCCTAGTTACATCATCAAGTATTTTACTTTGTATTCACAATATGACAATATCCATAATATGATAATTATGCTTCTAAAAAGGCAATAGTTTAGCTGAACGGAATGCTAAGTTTGAACAGAAATGGAAATTGAGGATCTATTTTATCATACGTACTTAATTGTACTGCCTCGTTGGCCAAGTGGTCGCAAGTGCGACTGCCGGGCTGGGGGTCTCGGGTTCGATTCCCGGGTCGGGCAAAGTATTACTGGGTTTTAAAAAAAAAGTCAGTAGTAGCATGGAGTCTGGAAATGTGCTCGGTAGATGGGAATATGTCTACCCCCTATTACATGGGACATATCGTAAAATAGTGAAAAGTGGATGTTACATTGTACCTACAGTTACAGTAGCATTAAGTGCCGTAATGTGCACCTCCGACTACCCCTTCAGGGATAAAAGGCGTAAAGTTATGTTACTTAATTATAAATTACCTATGTACTTAAACTGAAGCAAGATTCAAGACAGTCTTGTTTGCAATTACCTATCTAAGAGTTGAGATGCTCCAAGTGCGTATTTTTTTTTTAAGGGGGGAAAATCATCTAATGTCTGCTCCCGCCTTGGTAGGCGGGGGGGAGTGTCAGACTCTTACTGACTAAAAACTACCCCGTTCCTTCTCGTGCACGTCGAGCCGGAGCTCCGGTAATCCGTTAGGTTCTCTGCGACTCCGAATCGGCATCAGCCCTGTTGGGCCCCATCCGTGGTGGTCTGATGGCTCTTTGAGGCGCGCACGGAAAGCGACGCGCCGTCAGTAGATACTTGCCTAGAGACATACATCTCGAAGTAGTGGGTAGACGCTGAGGTATAACTAATTCTAGTGTGGGGTCCTTCTACCATTTCTTTAGATTAGAATTAAAAAAAGTGTCTTTTCTTTTCTGATTTTACTTCGAAAGTACATCATTTATATAGGTATGTTATAGTGGTAGGTAGGTACTAAAAAAAAACTAACTTAATAAAAGGTTTCATGCGTCGTAAAATTAAGTAAAATACCTACATCTACCCGCACTTTGTTAACATTTAGGAAAAGCGACTTTAGGTAGGTACTTATAAGTAGGTACTTACTTGTTTAGGCATGTCTGAAACAAGTCTACGAATATTTTTTATTTCTTTTTAAATAAAACGTTGCCCCACACTAGGATTTTCTCCTGTGTCGTGGGTGCGTTTACAAACATACAAGTTCACATACACAATGACACCCAGACCCGAAACAACAATTTGTGGATCACACAAAGTGTTGTCCCGTGCGGGAATCGAACCCGCGACACGTTGCACGGCAGCCGGTTGCCCAGCCACCGCACCAACCGTGCAGTCCTTTTTTTATAATTTTCTTCACAAACCCATTTTATTGATTTCCAATAATTTATATTGGTGAGTCACTATTGTTAGTTAAGTACTGATAAAATGAAGATAAATAGATACAATTGATGTCAATAACTTGTGAGACTTCTTTGTTTTACTGCTGTTGAAATAGCGGTACCTATCTATATTATACTATATGATGCCTATCTGTATTACTTATAGGTAGTAGTACCTACATAAGTAGGTATAATGAATTACAAGTCAACTTCCTCATATATATATAATACCTAGAAAACAATTGGCAAAATCCCTGAAACCACGTGCTATTACCTACTTCAAATACAATTTAATCGAGTGGGATATCCTTTGTACCGGTCCTCGCTTGGGAATCAAACCACATTAAACCCCTATGTACTCGGTACTTGTGGCTTGTATTAAATTAATTTTGTTTTGATATTGCAGAATATTTGAGAAAGTGTTTCTGGCGGCTCTGCTGTGTGTGTGCGGCACACAGGGCAAGGAGATGACAGAGATCGAGGCGTTGGGCGCGCAGCCCACACACTGCACCTACGAATACGCCTTTGAAATGTACGGCGCCCACTGCGCCAGCCGGCGTCTCAACAAGGTACCCAATTTGAGGAGTGGTATTGAGGTGAGTCTATTTATGCTATCATAACCTAAACTATTTTTGTCAATTTTTAATTAAGTTACCTACTAGGTACCTATACTATTGATAAAGGTACCAAAAAAAAAAAAATCTTAGGTATTCACTGGCAAAAAGCTAAAAGCTTTGCAGTTGTAACAAAAATGTATTCAATCAATTAATTTGCGCTTTTATCAATTGCAGATCCTGGACTTCAGTGACAACAAGCTGCAGGAGGTCAATGCCGACACACTGTCTAGTTACACGAACATAAAGTTCCTGTACCTCGCAGACAACCACATCTACCTCATAGAGGAGGACGCGCTCACGTCTCTCACAGACCTGCAGACGTTGGATCTCGCCAACAACGTCATACTAGAACTGCCTAACTCAATATTCCAACTACCGTCTCTAAGGAAACTGTACCTGAGAGGAAACCCAATTTTCTACAAAAATATGAACGCCCTCACAATAGTGAAGCCGATTAAAGCGCCACTGGAGCTCTTGGATATATCAGACTGCAAGATAAGAGAACTACCGGATTGGGGTTACCTGCCGCAGCTGGTGTTCTATAACATCTCACATAATCCACTCGCCTCTCTCAACACGCACCACTTCGCATCCATGTGCAACCTTAATAAAGTAGACCTAACGGAATCCTTAAATAGCTTGAAGCTGTGCGGCACCAGATCCACAATCCTATGGTTCCAACAGAAAAGAATATTTTTCCAATTGGAAGACTACTCTAAACTCAATACTAGAGGTAAGTTTTTATACGTGGGTAGCTAGATAACACTAAAGAGCATATTTAAGTAGGCACTGCATACTTACCTTGTAGCCCTAAGTAAGTTACGCGTGCTTTTAAATTACAGAGTTCGAAAACTGTCCGGTACCAGAAGACGACGGATCTCACAACGCCACCTTTCATCGATGTAAAGCAGAATATTTGCAGGTAACTTAATTTTAACATAACGGATACCTACGGTAGGGACCTAATTAATGGACCTTATCTTAACTTTTTTTAGGTTCATTATTATTGAAACCTTTGCTAGTTAGTAGTTGTCTCTACGTAGGCGTTGAGACTAAGTTTTTATTGTTTTCGTTATATTGTAAATAGTATTAAATTGATATACTGTAAATTACAATTGTAAATGACATTTCAGGTGCAAAGTATAAGGACGTCGCGTCGCACGTGGCTGACGATAGGCGGCGGGCTGGCGGGTTTCCTCGTCGGCTTCATCCTACTGCTGTATGTGATGCACCGGCACAACGTGAAGCAGACCAAGACCAAGGCTGAGAAGATGAAGCACGCTACTCCAGCCGACGCAGACAAGACCGCCAGTGCAGTCCTCCTTAGCGACGTCGCGTAGTTACTAGCACCGTCACGTATTTAAATTCTTGCCTGATAATACGGCAATCATTTCAATGCCTAGTACGCAATTCGTATGACAGGCGTACAGAAGTTGCTTGATAACAAAATTGAAATGTCGAGATACGCCGGCCATGATTGCGATTGACGATTGTAATACGTCCAATCATTTTATTTATAAATGGTGAATATTCAGGGTATTTAAGGAACCAAAGAATATTTGGCAATATTTTAAGTTAACACTTTACGTATCTACATATAAATTAACATTGTGCTTTGTATATTTAATGTGGTGCTTTAGCGACATATATGTTGTGAAGAGTTAAAATAGTAGGTATAGGTATTTGTAATTCAACTAAGCACTAGTTTAGCCTAACAAGAATAACTAGCCCTTATATCGAAGGCAACCGAAAATGCTAGGTAGAAATCCTATGTATTCTAGATAATTAATAAGTTTAGGAAGATGTTACAGTGGTTAGATAAACTCCCATTATTTAGTAACAGAACTTTAGTAAATAAATTGAAATGTAAAAACTGAACAACTCCAAAGCTATGAAAGGCTGACTAGTTTTAATATTGTACCGTTTCATTCACCTGGAGCCTGGAGGATTTTCATGCAGTTGTTATATCGTATGTAGTGTCATAGATATGTATGTGATACCTATAGGTATGTATGTGAGATGTAAGAATTGTGATTTTGCATGCACAGGTGATGAAAATATCTACATACATGAGTCTGAACACCTGTGCGACCGTGCATGACATTTAATTTTAGCTTGGGTTTGAGAATCATGTAAAGAAACAAGTTTAAATATTAATTTAAATATTTAAAGTTAGGGACTTATTATTTATGAATATGTTCAAAAACGTTCCAACACATCAATCTACTCCGATGTGTCAATTTTTGTAATTGGATTATCGACTTTATGTCTAAACGATAGAGTTGAAAATCTAATAAAGAAATTTAACTGAAACTGAAAAGAGTTAAGCCCTGCTGCCCACTGTACATTGCAGGCTAATAATGAGTGTTTGCTTCTATCTTTTATGTAGTACTATCAATTAAGTAGGTATGCTTGAGTTTATATTTCATATTTGTGCGATTTCATTCACATCTTGCTAAATATTTTTACATTTAGAATTCTCAAAATATTTTTAAAGATAATGTGTGATAACGAGGGTATTTGTATAAAGTGTATGTGATGAGTAGATGAGTTATTATGAATTCATAAAACGATGTTTAGCATTTCATAATCTCTACCTACCTCCATGGGAAACAGGCGTGAGGTTATGTATGTATGTATGTATGTAAAAAGGTGTCGAGGTATATATGGTTTATATATTTATTAATATTGGTGTGTGTGTTGGTTGGTCTAAGTAAGATTACACTCACATTTAACATTGCAAACACTATTTCGAAGAACGTTTGAGTCTTATAGTTTTGTTGTATCTACAATAAGGGGAAAGTACTGAATACTCATCTAAAATAGTAACAAAATATATAGAACTCTATTGTCGTTATATCACAGATTATAATAATTATAATTATTTTTATATTCCCTTACTAATACCTTCATAGAATTATATGTACGCAATTGTTTTTCTTAAGTCTTACAGGTTACTATTGCTACCAAAGATTTCACTGTTAGTATATTAACACACTGTAATATAATTTGGCATTTTTGTAAACAACTATTAAATTGTCTATTTGTAAACTGTAAGTTAAAATTCACTGTGATAAGTATTAAAAATGTTACTAATTACTACCTTGTTTACTTTACAATCAAATAAAATAAAATCCAGATACCCCATTTCAAAAATTAATTATATTTAAATGAAATTAACAAACTGAATTAAATCGTCACAAGCTAAAAATATGTTGCATTAAATGCTATGTTGATTTTTTTGTAATGTTAAAACATCTCCAACTCAATCGAAATGAATGTAAACTAAACAAATCAATAAAAACAACAGCTGAGTAAACACGAACAGTGGTTCCTTCAGTTGGCACATTCAAGTGTCCTCATCTACTGAGTCTGCCAGGACACGTATTGAATGCCAGCTTCAGGGTAATTCCGTTGAATGTTGTCCAAGTTTAGGGTAGCGTGACATTGGCTTCAGGTGTCTTTCTTCTCACTATCGTTTATACTTTTGGCGGGCGGCGGCGTGTCCTTCTCCTTGGCCAGGCGCTGCTTGCTGAACTTCCCCATTCCCGGCTGGTAGATCACGAGGCTTGGACGATCCTGGAACAATGAGTACATACATTTATTCAAAGAAAGATTAAAATATGTATAAAAATCATGAACAAGAAAAAATACATCGCGTAAATTTTCTTTCAATCAAAACAACATGAAATACTTATTAACAAATAGATGAAGATTATTTACCTTATTCCTAATTCTCCTTTCCGTACGACGATCGCCACTCTCACTCTTCTCCTTCTCCTCCGAACCCTCCCTGTCAGTTGATTTGCTTCTGTCGTCCAGAGAATTTTGCCTTTTCAAAACTAAATCATCTTTGACAGGCATTTCCCCAGACTCCAAGCTATTCCTCCTCATCTTTGACACACCTACAGGGGAGCTCTTGGAGATTGAGTCATCATTGGACTCCTTACTACTATCACTGAGCTTCACTTTCTTGTCCATTCCCTCGATGATCTTAGTCAAGTCGTCAGTCTTTACGTGCGGCAGTTGTGTGAATGGTTTGATGTCGTCATGATTTATAGACTTAACTTTATTGTCAGAAGACATGATTTTGTTTATAGCTGATTGTTTGTCTGATTTCCCAACTTCAGTTTGTTTTATTCTCTCTTTCCTAGTGTCACTATACTTTTTACTCTTCACCTCGCGGGGTGACTCCTTACTGAATTTAGTATTCTCCCGTTTATCTTTCTTGTATCCCATGTCGTCGTCCTCGACCTGGTCGTCGTCTCTGGCGTCTCTTTTATCAGAATCAGGTTTTTTCTTTTTGTCGCTAACAACAGTAGCACCAGTCTTGCGCTGGTCTCTATATGATTTAGATTCAAATACAGATCCATCTTTCCCATCAGACTTCACCTGGTCATCCCTGGCATCACTTGCTTTTTCTTTTTCCCATTCTCTGGATTTGATCTTTTTAACTTCACCTTCTGCAGTCTCTTCCTCCTAAAATGTAATCAATAATTTTAAATTATTCGTTATTATCTTTTCAGAAGAATTTATTATGAGGCTACATTGGTATAAGTTCAGGGGTTTCCTTATTTTACATTTTATATTTTGATTTCTTTGGGTTTGAGAGTTTTTACGAATTACTATTTTACAAATGTGTCCGATACGAAAAACTAAGAGACAAGTTTAATACTACACCACAATAATATAATTTTACAGGCCTGCATACATGTGTAATGTATGATTTTATATTTGTGAAAATACAAACTACTACAAATCTTAATTATATCAAAATGGAACTGAGTTTCATACAGCAAACTACGAGAAATTCATGTCGATACTGGGAACCTTGAAACAAGTGTCACCACCACTTTTCTGGCTACCTTCTTGTGTTTCTTTCTTATCGCAGAATTTACCAGAGGTTAGTGTGAATGTGTTGTGGGTCTTGGTAGACAGGGCGGGGAAGTGGCTGTCCCAATCAGAGTCGGTACTGATAAACTCATCAGAACCATGAATACTCTTTAGTTCAGACTTGGAGACTGCACATTTCACTTTACTTTTATGATATATTCTTTGCTCTCCGTACCAGAAACTGTGATTGTTATATTTGTTGTCATAGTAATCTATATTGTCATTGAAGTTCTCGTCTTCTGATATATCACCAGGTCTCTACAGAAACGATGGAGAAAACAAAGGATATAGGAAAAGTAGATAAATTATCAAAAGTAATGATTGGGATTGGGTAAGGAAGGATTGGATTTGTTGTTAGTTTAAGGGTCTAGGTACCTATTACTTTACAGTTGCCCTATATATACCAGTTGCTACCAGTTACCTTAATAGAGTCTTTGGTTTTCCTTTCTATCCTCATTTTCCTCTTGTCATTCTCTCTCCTGCGACGCTCATCTCTTCCTCGCTTATCCTGCTTCCTCGCAGCAAGGTATTCCAGCAATGGAGTGGATTGTACTTTCTTGTCATTGGCTGTAAAAGTGTAGGTAATTGATGTTTAGTATTTTTGCTACATGATTGGGTTGCTTGCAAAAGTAAACTAATAGTGGAAGGAAATAAAGTCTTAAATTGCTTCCATGTTTAATCATGTGTGAACTAACCAACTGTTCACGGATGGTGGGTTCACAATGTGTATTATTCACGTTCGATGTCGGAAAATGTTAGAAATGAAAACCGTTATTATATTAATTTGTATTAACAGGGTCTGAATCATCTGTGAGTTAAGAGAAATGATATAATAGGACTGTAAAGATAATTATCAACATAATGTCAATTAAGCTAACAGGGAACATAATCAGCCATTGTGCAACATGCCTTTAAGTATGACATTTTACACTAAAACCGAAATCTTTGTGGTTTTCATATCTTGCTTCCTTTCACTTAGTGAATCATTATATAACATTGCTTGCGAAACTAATGCAACATATGTTACATATATGTTTTTCTACAATTATAACTAGCTTGAGACCACATTCCCGTGGGATAAAACGTAGTCTATGTGTTACTACAGACTGTAACTATCTACCCCTGTTCCAAAATTCATCCTGAGGCCTTAGTACAACTTTGTTTTACCCTTAAAGTAATCGTAACAAGTATGCGTTCGGCGCTCTGATTGGTTGGTTCATTGGCGCCGGCCAATCAGATTGCCAAACGAGTACTTGTTTCGAATACGTTTAAAACGTAAATCTAACTCGTACTAAGGCCTCAGATCTCTCAGAGAGTAATGAACATACACACAAACTTACATATATTCACATATATGTTAGTAGGATAGTAAGATTTCAGGACTACTATACTCACAATCATTAACAGGATATGAATATTCAAGTTTTGGTTGATTTTCAGTCTCAGGATCTTTTTTGAGACTTTCAACAAAGTCTTGATAGATGGGGTCACTCTCTATGGTACCACATTTGGGGTCTTTCTTCTTTTTTTTCTTGGGTATTCTTTGGAACGGGGCATACTCCACTATACCCACATACTCTACACCTGAAACATATAATTTGTGGAATTATTTATACAAATATTAGAAATTGGAAAGCTGGTTGTGTATTTTTATATGGGATTTAATAAAATTATTTGGCCATTAGAAAGTTTCTTAGTCAAGGAATAATTTTTTATCCCACTATACCTTACAGATTCAGGACCAACTCCTGCAGGTATTGTTGCGGACAGAATATGTATAGTAGAAGTAGAAGGAAGAACATAGGTTTATATCTAACAAAAGCTGTTGGATTCAATTAACTCGTCGAGTACCGGTTTTGTAGACACAATTATAGAACAATAGGTTGCGGTCACCGGTGACCGCTTGGTGTTTGACAGTTTAAATTGATGGCAATTAATTATTATTCCCTGATTACTTTCCAAAACATTAATAATTAAATTGTTCCACATAGTTAACTACTCTGAGAATAATACTGAAAATAACATTTTCAGTAACTAATTGAAAAGATCTTCATATTAAAATTGTTAACCTACAGGTTGGCTAGGTGCTACTAATATGATAAGCTACCTCTATGTATTGTAATGGACACACAATTGAAAATACTCTTAACCCGTTGAAATCCACCCCCTAAATTTGGTCATACAAAAGTAGTCTCTAAACATTAGAAAAAAGGTCTGTAATGTAATGTAATATTAGTGGAAAGCGGTCACCGGTGACCGCTTGGTGATTTATGGGTTAATTCTAACACAGATTTAATTTTAGGATGTGTGGTCCTTATGGTCAAGGCAAACTATTCAAATTGCAGATAATTCTGTTGTTAATAACCTCTGTTGTTTATTATTAAGTTGGTATCAACAACTGAATCAACAGTGGCACAATACAAGTTATATACATTCACATTTCACAATAATTTGACATCAATGTAATAGAATCTTACCTTTTTCATCTAGAAATACATATCCATCGAATTTATCTCTAAATAAGTAAATATCGTCAACATTAACGAAGTTTATGTAAGCTCTGGAATATAGGTTATTGCCAAGCGAAGGGTCTGGCTTAGCAAAATAGAAATGGTCATGTTCAGGTATCGGCGAAACCTGCTCCAAAAACGCCTCCTCAGTCATAGTAGGCGGTAACCGCCGAAGTATAATCTGAAACAAGAATAACCTCGTTCAAATCTCTTTGTTGTAAATATATTTACAGACAACAATTTCTAATAAAGCAAACAGTCACTTTGGTCAGCGGCCGTTGGGTTTTTGTTTTCTTGTCCTTGTTCTTATTAATAAAGGTTTTACTGCCCGAATCTGACTGCGAATCTTTTGCATCTTGATCTTCAGTCATTATACAATTTAATTAATAATATCCCTCAACGTTTTAGGCAATCCCTCAACATTATCAAAAAACCGTGTGTCGTGTGTAATTTTTTTGACATTTATTTGACAGATGGTAGCTTTTTATTTTTATTTCGAGCAATGTTCAGCACACACATTTGCACATACTGCCTATTTGAATAAAATGTAGTCGATTAATCGCTTGCTCTTCTCTATTTCCACGACATTTTTAAGCTGTGGTATAAAAAAAAATTCGTATTGTCAAAGTAAAAATAAATAAGATTGAATTTGAGGTTATTTTTAATCTAAGGCTGTAAAACTAAAATTATCTGATAAAATAAGTTGAAAACGATTACTAAATAATTGTAAACGCCACAGGATTGTAAAAGCAATATGCTTGCCACAAGACTGTCGAGACAACTGAAAGGAACAAGTGCTGTGATTAGTTCACGAGCATTTTGCAGCCCTACTACTCCAACTGGTACAACTGGTAGTGCTAAAGAACAAGGAAGTGTTTCTACAGAGGATGCTGCTGTTAAAGTTAGCGGCTTCGCTAAGGCCTTTGAAAAACAAACTAAAATTTTAGATACAGAAGATAAAGAACAAAATTATACCTTTGCATCTTTACTTCGTCATTCTAAATTGATGGACGTGAGTAAAGAATTTTTTTTATTAATTTTAAACGTATTGGTAATTCACTTATAAATTTTACTGTTATTACCTATTATTTCCAATGAAGCATACCATGGACTAATAAGTTTATACAAATCAATTCCATTGATGATTCTGTTAACATTTTCAGCTTGGTGACCCTACCAACAAAGTGGTCATTGGTAAAATATTCCATGTAGTTGAGGATGACCTTTACATTGACTTTGGATGGAAGTTCCACTGTGTCTGCACTCGTCCAACTGTCCGAGGTGATGAGTATGTTCGAGGAGCTAGAGTGAGAATACAGATTAAGGACTTAGAGCTGTCTTCTCGATTCTTAGGCTCTAGTACAGACCTTACACTATTGGAAGCAGATTGCAAGCTCCTAGGGTTAATATCTACACCAATTAGACCCACTACTACTGCTTCCGTAAGTGCTAAGTAATGTTACCTCTATATATGTAATCTAGTTAGTAGTTGTTAAAGTAATAAATAATGTTGTTTAAAATATTGTTGTTTGCTTTTTATAGTTCTATGTTAAATGTTAAACTACAATACTATTCTGAATATTTGAGCGGTAGTTACAGTAAGTTTGCTAATCTTTTTTGTTATGACAACCAGTTAATTTGTAATTTGCCAGTACTAATCCAAGATCTATTTTTTTCATGCCTCATAGTTATAGGCATTCAAGAGGTTATTGACCTACACACACCTCTACAATGACTTGTAAACTATGTTAATCTGATTCTAATTTGTTAGCTCTTAATTTTTTACTTGGTTAAATCTAAAACAGGTGTATCAATTATCATGCCCAGCATAGGTTGTAGGCACACATACATATTCTGCTGTATAATCTATTGCTGTCCTCACAACAACTAGAAACTGGTGAAAATTGATGTGCTTTAAATTCATCATCATCATATCAGCAATAGGATGTCCACTGCTGAACATAGGTTAATATAGGCCAATGACTTCCAGATAGGCCTATCTAAGTTGGAAGCAACCTGCATCCTGTGGCTACTTGCGACCTTCATCAGGTTGTATACTCCTTCACTAATCTCTTCATTCAACAAATTTTAGGGATCATAGTTAGGAGGATCCCTAATTGAGCACTACCTCTTCTGGTCGCGGGGTGCAGGGGGTTGAGAGAAACAATGGTGTTCGGATACCGGATATATTCACGTAAACCCCCAGATAGAACCATTCACTCGGACCAGTGCGCAGTAACTGTCCGTGCCTCGCATACTTCACGCTCTCACAAGTTTTTGCTTGCCTTGCACTCTGCCATACATAATTACATGTGTCCCTACAAATTGTTCCTATAACATCATGTTCTTTACTCTGCCCACATAATATTACGCCTTTTATCCCCGAACGGGTAGGCAGAGGTGCACATTACGGCACTTGATGCTACTCTACAATATAACACCCACTTTTCACTATTTATGTTATGGAGTCCCATGTAATAGGAGGTGAGCCTATTACCATACCGAGCACACTCCAGACTATAGTAGCACGGAGTATTATACACTGAGAATTAAAAAAAATCGAATAATACTTTGCCCAGCCTGGGAATCGAACCCTTGACCCCTTGCCCAGCAGTCGTACTTGTCACCACTCAACTAACTACGCAGTCATTACTCTGTCCCTGTTTTTAGGAACCATCAATAACAATTCCAATGGTACTTGACTCAAGTACAGCCGCAATACATGTTCATCTATGCTGACACCACTTGATAGTGATAAGTGACTGTTCACTGACATCAAACTGGACTTTGTTCACCCCACCAATAAAAACACAGAATGATTTAAGTCAACAATTTATTTAATTGACAAACATTTGGACAACATCAATAATGGCATAGAATAGCTCCTATTTATTGTCAGAATATAAGTGATAACTTATATTTATTAACATTATTATTTAATTAATAATTTTTAACATTCCTTCAAGTTTTTATATTCTTCTAGAATAAACACTTGATTGTTCCTGGTACAGCAAGCCTGTCATTTATATCATATGGAATGTTAAAAATACAGTTTTGGGAGTTATTTTTATTACAATCAGATGCTTAAAGATAGACGATTAGTAGAGAGATTAACACTGAGATACCATGGTTAATGTACATGCCTATTTATGTATTTTATCTAATAAATTTCTCTAAAATCAGTAGCTACACACTACCTACTTATGAATACATATTGCATAAAATCTTCACAATTTAAAATAATCTATGAAAGAGATTACATTTCACACAAAATGCACACAGTTTTGTTTAGCCAATCTTCTCAAGTTCTCAGCAGACTAGTTAATTTCTCTAAGCATCTCTCCCGTTGTTCACTCCTCACCAGATGTTGCCTTGTGCTTCCATGTTACTTTAATATCACACCCTTGAGCTTAGTGCTGAATAACTTCCATATCAAAGCATTTACTTCTTCGAACCATACTCATGTACACAAATTCTCATAATTGTAGAGTTATTTTGTAAATATCGGTATAAAATACCTTCTAAAAGCCAGGTATAATTTCATGAGGACATTTGAAAATATTCACGGCCAAAGCTGTCCTAACGTAAAATGCAATATTTTCTACTTAAATAAATATGTTTTGGGCGATAACACATACCCTTAACCGTATCTACAAATAGATACGTAGGACTTGATTTTCTTTCCTTTAAGATCAGCTCTGCATTCTATGAATCATGCGTTTTTATTTCTATTAGCAACTTTTCTTATGTTCACATAACTGCTACAGAAAGAAACATAATCTGCACACAATGCGGAGTCACCTTCAAAAACTATTTTGTGACGCATAGTCACGAGATCATCTCATTACATCATCCCAGTAGAGATTCTATTGCACTTTGTCTCCATTCCTGGATACAATCTCCTGGATGCTGGGGTCTTTAACAGCGTCATCTGCGTCTGGTTTAACTTTCAATATGTCATCGACATCTGACGCGCCTGCAGCTGCGCCCACGGTTTTGTCGGTAGGGTGCGTCTGCTCCCATTCCTTCAAATATTGTACGACAGCGGTGTGTCCGAAGGTCTCGGCCTCGTTAAGTGGTCGGCTGCCCCAGCGATCGCGAGGGTCGTGTGGAACTCCGCACTGAGCGAGCAGGAAGTCTACGCAGGATAGGTGACCCTCTGCAGCTGCCAGATGTAGCGCAGTGCGACCGTCGTAGTCCGACAGAGTCATGTCCATACCGGAGAGGTGGTGGCTGCGAACGATAAAATTATAAAGGTACAATATCTATCTTAAGTTAAAAAGTGCCACGCAGTGAAGGACTACCTACTTTGGCTTTCAGCTCAAACTAAACTAGGTACGTTACCGAATGATGAATAATTTACACTAGCGTCGTGTTATGAGCTGATCGTGAAGCATTTTCTACCCATAGAATTGTACTCGAGTAAAGTAGACATAATAATTATAATAGACCCATTAAGCGCAACAATAAGCATAGGTGAGTACTGACTGAGTACATATGATACAACGTTCCTGTTGATATACTAGATAAGCAGGTACTCGTACTTGCTTAGTAAGTACTTGTCGAAAGCAATCTATTCGTTAGAATTCACCGGTACGGGAAGAAGTTTCGGATCAGACCTTTGGCTGTTAAACAACAATAACTGATCAGCGAAAATCTTTAGTATAAAGTAAAACTACCCATAATAAAAATCATAAATACTAACCGTCGTAGAGCGCTAAGATCACCACTAGCAGCCGAGAACAAGAGGTTGACAATGTTGAGACCCGCAGACTCGAACTTGTACCGACGAGGATCCTTCTTGTGGCTGGCGTAACGAATGTTATCGTACTTGTGGAAGTTGAACCTCTTAATCATGTCCTGGATAATGAACAGAACACGAAATTAGTTATGAACAGATTCAATATTTTGAAACAAAACCAAGGTAATAAAATGAGTCTTACATCACAGAATTGCAAGCCTCGGCAGCTGTTTCCCAGAGGGTCCAAAGGTGGCGACCATGTGCAAATACCCATAACATTGGGGACAACTATGAGCATAGCACCAGATACGCCAGACTTTGCAGGAAGTCCCACTTTGAATGCAAACTGTCCTGAGTAGTCGTACATTCCACAGCTATGCATCAGAGAAAGCACGTTGCGTACCGAGTCGGGCCGTAGTACCTTTTCATCTGTGATGGGACAGATACCACCATTGGCCAGAGTAGCAGCCATAATAGACATGATGTCGCAGTTGGCTTCCATTGAGCAACACTGTAAATAAAGAAAATACAAATAGGTAGTAGTATAAGATGTTAGCTAATTACAGAGCTCAAGGTACTTAGTAGAAAAACAAATAAATTGTTTTGTACCTGGAAATAGAAGTCCATACATTCACGGAAATTAGTTTTTTCCGGATAACATTTATGCTCTCGCATGTAGAAGCCAAGTGCATAGTTTCTGTCGGCAGCTTCGCGTTCAGATAAAAATACTGCATTGTTGAAACCAAGGCTTTCGTTGCCTGCAAGCCGACTAAAGAACGACATGACGTAATCAAACTTTTCAGCGAGAGTCATCTCGGGCCGGTCCAAGGTCTTCAATAATGAGCATACTAGAATTGCTCCCGCGTTTATCATCGGGTTATGTGGCTTCACTGTGAAAATAAGATGACAAAATTATTTGCATGCGAGCGACGTTGGCAAATCTTATTGTTGATTCTAAAAGTAGGTACCTAATTGTTTATGCACGTTAGATTCGTCATACTAAACCCACAAAAACAAATAGTATCGCAGGTGTAGGCGTTGTTGATACGTACTGTTATAATCCAGAACGAGTTCATTGAAGTTGCGGCCGCTGGGCTCCGTGCCAACATATTTGTGTACCACGTCGGGTCCTAGAGTTTCAAGTGCCATCGCGTATGTGAGTGGTTTGCTGCACGATTGTAGAGTGAATGGAACCGTCACATCACCTGTAAAACATTGGGAATCGGTTAAGTTATTGTTCACAAGCAATGGGGCTCAATATGCTTATGATTCTATATGCATATGATATGATAGAAGAGTCTTACCGATAGAAAATCGTTGACCGTCTATAGTACAAATGCTGACACCCCAGTTCTCTGAGCTGGCCCTAGCGAGCTGCGGGATGTAGCTGGCCACTTTACCGTCAGTGTTACTTTTAGCAGCCCAGTACATTTCTTCCACGTCTTTGATAAAATCTTGAAAGTCTGGAATTACGAATTGACTGCGGAACGCCCTCGTGATGAGGACGATGTTAGGTGCGATCACCTCTTTGAAGGTCTTCCTGTCTAGTTTCAATGTCTCCGGTGAACCGCCTTCAAAGTTGGACTCTTTGTGCACCTTGTATAGATTATGCATGACTTCTTTTACACGATTATCATTTTTCCTTATGCCAGTGGTCCTCAGGGCCTAGAAATATTATGGAAATAAGATAAGTCACTGAGTATCGCAAGAAATAAAGAGTCGAAGGAAACAGTAAACTTACGGCCAAAAACTTTCCAACGGGAAGGAGACCCGTGTCTTCATTCTTAAACATGTCAAATAAAACATCGTCAGCGTTCTTGTGCGGTCCTTCGCGCACCCTGTGAAGCAACAACATGGACATTAGATATTTATTTCGTGAATATAACCTATTATAAACAACGTACTCGACTGCAAAAAATAAAACTTCGTAGATAGGATCAAAGTACTGACCTGTAAGTACTTGAATATAGAGTAATAGAGCAAGCAACTGTGCAGAACCAAATCTATATGAACCTCTTATTGTAGGTAGGTAGGTATATGTCTAATTCGACTAACATGTGAGTATAAATTACAAAACGTGTATATTTGTGACTAATATTGCCACAGCGTCACATCATGTGATATAGAACATGACTACATAAACCGAGATCATGTTGTCATTGTCACTCAGTTTTCAAATAAAAGCAAGTGAACGTCACCCAGGGTTCGTTAGGTAGGCAGATAGATGATAGATAAACATCTACCTAGCAAGTCGCGATTGTTCACGAGTATGCAATTAGCACGACATAGTTAATAGAGCAATTATAATGTATTGGACAAATATTGTGTTACTTGTAATGTACACTGAGACGCCCCCGCGTGACGTCACGCGCTAATAATATCTGAAGCGTGACTACGTAGGACGGCGGGTGTGTCTGCGACGGGCAAACACCACGTCGTGACAAAGCTGTTGACCATCACCTGATGGCGATATATTTAAACACGGGACATGCTAAAAAACAAGCGAGTTCGACAAAAAAATTTGTAATTACATTTATGACGCAAGCGATGCCAATTGGACAGCCAAAACATATGCAATAAACATTTAGAATTACCAATACGACGTAGAGATAAAAATCTCAAAATTTTTCAACATAGCAAAAGTTTATCGCTATGTGTAAAAACAAATACCATAAGAACTACTTGGAAACTCGTCTAAAATGTCTACAAGTTTGCCGATAGCAACAATGAGCTACCTACTTAGCTAAACAAAATACCAATACACCATCTTAATAAGATTCTACTGATCTTATTAGGATTTTCATAGCCTAACTAAGGATTCTATTTTATCGAGAACTACCAAAAGCCTTAACAAATATAAAAGCAAAACCAATACAAAAATAAAACAAGAAATTGCCTTCAACGTAAGACTACAAAATAATAAGGTGCTCCAAAGATTACGATGGTGTAAAGAACATGAAATAACCTTATAATATGAATTCAGTTCTAGACTCCACTAGCATTGTAATGTAGCGTCGGTTTTTTCTCGAAATTTAGTATTTAAATTCTGACAGTTTTAAAAGACATCCCTCGTATGGATATAAAAAACATAGGAAAGACATTTTTCACAACTAGGTAGGTATATGTTATTAGTATGTGAACGAATAGAACAAAGTCTACAGAAAAAGTTATTAGATATATAGACATATATAAAACTATTATCTGACCTGTTTAGGATGATAGACGGTTAAATTAATAGGTATAGTACTTAAATTAGGTATAGTATGTACAGACTTCCCGTCGTCCAAGTCTATTACTTTTCTGTGAACATGTCTGTTGTAACAAAATTATGCCACATAAAATAAAAAATCAAGGAAAATTCCCATGATGTTTTTGTGCCTTGTACTGAATAGATGCGCTCGTGATATTAGGCAACGAAGTAGTGACAGGCTAATCAATAATAATAAATAGCTTAGCTTCTGATAGCCACACGACATCGTAGTCCGATTTTTTTTGCAGATCATGCATTTAGCTGGATAACCGTAAAACCGACGATACATTTACTAAGGTGGTGAAATCTGGCTGGAAATTATTTTGCAGGAGTCCTGAACTGAATCCATAATACAAAACAAAACAACAACGACTGTGGGACAGTCAAAATAAAAATACATAACCTAAATTCGGGAAGTAGCGGCTTTTACAACAAATTGATCCATGCAACACACTGTCAGGAGGCAGGCCTCAGTACTCACGATATGGGGTCGATGTTATGCACGAACGAGTACTGTCGGGTTTTGCTGCTGCCATGTAACGTGAACAAACAATAATGTAAGAATCTTATCAATACTACGCGAACTTATGAATCGTAGGTAACTCTGTTATCTGTCGCGACTGGACACAAAATGACAAATGACTGCACGCCTTACAGATTTATCTCACTATGAATTCATGTGTATTTTCAAGCAAATAGTAGATTGAACAGTCAGTCTTACGCTACGTCTGTATTATTGCATAACTGCACACATGATTGTGGAAATATTAAGTAATGATTTTAGTTGGCAATATACTGCCGGTGCTATATACTTGGGTATACGTGAATAGTTTGAAATGTCAGGGGTGAATTGAACAAGTAGGTATCGGCGCCGGTCCGTTTAATATGAATCAATAGAAGTCGAAGTAGGTTATTAACAACAATTTATTTCCAATAGACGGGTGTACATTGACACTATTTCTGCATTGGTTAATAATAATAATAGTGCATATCATACCTCAAGTCGAGGGACTGGACTGAATAGAAATGCGGGGCAGAATTGCGCCATTTCTGAAAAGATAACGTAGAAAAATGAGTTAGGAGTTACATATTTGACAGCTGTAACCCAGATTCCCAGAAACAGAGACAGACACAAAAGGATCCCTCTGTCACCGTGGAAGTATAACACAAGGAAAAGACACTCACTTCAGGTTTTGATATAACATACACAGGTCTCACTTGACTATAGTGCCGATAGCAGGTGCAAATCGAGTGATTGGGTTTGGCAAGAGGGCGTGCGGCGACGAGCCGGCACAGCTGACGGGTGCTCATGGCGGCGGCCTGTGTGACACACTTCCCGAGTCCTGGCGTACGCACTTCGTACGGTAGCGGGCGGCCGCGGCGGCGTGCTTATGTCCGCTTCCGAGGCGCAGGCGCCAACTGACGGCTCCCCGCCCAGCGCACCTCTCGCTTATCTACTTGTTTACATTCAGTGTTTACATGACAGGTGACGCGTTACGTTAAATTTAATAATTCGTGGTAATACTTACACCTGAACCACGTTTTATAATCGTAATATGTACATAACTAGCTACGTAGTGGGGAAGGCCCATATGGTGCTTAGTACATAAGAATTAGACATGTATTTACGATCTTATTAGCCGACATGATAGCAAGCTATTAAATAATTTAGTTAAACCTAAAGATAAAAAAATTACAAAATTTTTGTTTTCCTACTTTATAACAAGACACCACAATATAATCTTTCTGTTAATGAAATATAAAGCGTGTTTCAAAACCCTGTTGGGTTCGTTATTGCAATGAATTAAATGCTAGTACAGTAAAGTACGTTGTTGCTTATATCAAATTGTAGGAGCATATACGTTTCGTAGCAACGCGAAAATATCGAGGAAAACTCCAGAATGACATCGATTATTTCCCTGACCGTGCTAACAAAAAGAGAACTAAGTAGTGCTCCATAGCAACAGAGTTGTCGATCAATATGATGACAATAGTCCTTTCAACAGTTTCGTGAAATACGGAAAGTCGTAGCAATTCGTAGCAGTTCGTAGCAAAACGATAATGATTTAACAAATGGTTAGAGATTAATGAAACAGGCCTTAATATTCTAAAAATGTATTATAATTGGCATTATTTTTTGCCCTAGCAGGCAGGGGTTCCCAACTTTTTCTTGGTCGAGAAACACTTTTCTATTTTTTTAGGTGATGGATCACTGTTACTATTCCTTTTTTCATGTCGTCACACTAAGATTCTATTCACACTAAGTATTTATCTTAGTTATATCCTTTGACATAAGTTTAATTTCAGCTTTAACCGTGGTATTTGTTGGACAGAGGTATATTCTTTTTTCGTTTCGCGGACTATTTTTTGTCTTTTCAGACGACTGGTGGTCCGCAGACCACCGGTTGGGAAATGCCTTATGGTAATTAAAATGCTTAAATATTAAAATAAATCAGTATTTCAAGCATCAAGAAAAGGTTACGTACATTTGTACGTCATTAGAAGTCTAAAATGTTGTACTTGAATTCTTTGACTTGTAGTTTGTAAACTATTTAGTTAATCTAACATTGTTTTGTTTACATGGAATGAAATTGTGTAAAGCAAATTTAACATTCCAGTTTGTAAAACGAAATAGTAAAAGTACTTCAAAAGAAATTATTGTCGTAGTTTCACTGATGAAAAGGAATGATTTGATAATTTTAGTCAACAATTTTTTGCAACTACGAAGGTAATCTTTTTCGTTATTTAATAATCGTACCAGGTTATTGTGGCTAAACTATTTTAAACTGGATTTTGAAAATTTCAAATAGCAATACAAGGTACTTAAGTATAAGTGTGTTGGTATGGACAAACCAATAGCTTTTTAGTATCGTCAAGTTTTAAAGACAGTATATATCTGGATATAGATATCTCATGAAAATTTAAATAATGTGTTAAATTATTTGTGCGTGATTTGAATTTCATCAAGAATAAATAGACCCGGAAATTTTTACAAAAACTTTACTGCGGAAGTTTTCTTATTGGTTTTATCAAAAATAAGACATTATAAACGCATAGTTGCATAGGGTACCTACGAAGCAGGCATTGTAAATAGGTTCAATAGTAGCTTCACCAGTGCATAAGTATGTTCACGTAAATGGCCATATTCGAGAACAACGTAGAACGCTATTAACTGAAAATGTAATTATTGTTTATTTAAATAATCTATGAAAATGTAACGGATGTCCAACTTTTTCGAAGCTTTTCAATTAACATTATTACGAGTTATTTTAATCTAAACGCAACCTTCAATTTGAGTCAATTCACACACACACACCAATATTCATATTTTAAACAGCTGTTGATCTAGATAACTCGAGGAGATAATGAAAAGCTTTCAGAGTATCCTTGTTATTGTTATTAATAAAAGTTTTTAGATGAAGTGTACGTGAGAGTTTAAACGTTTTATTTATAATCTGAATGTAGTTTCATGTAACGGTGATCATAACCTGAATTAATCGATTAGTTGAAAATAAAATCATGACTTAAAAATCGAATGTTTGATGTGGAATGGGGAAATTAAAAAATAAACATGTAATCACCTCAAAACTGTTATCACATTCCATCATAAATTCTTCGAAGCCACTGTTGTACAAGTAGCGCATGCCAGAGTTGCGGGACGGCTGCGAGGGATGCGTACGCGCCGTGAATTGCGAGAACTGAGCCGAATATCGTGCGAAATGCCCGACACTTCCGCGCACGACACACTGAGCCATTCTCCTTCTGTCTCCCGTTTATAAATATACTACATCTGGGAGTGCCAAATTAGTAATAGACGGGAACCTATGCCATCATATATTATCTAGTATACAATATATTACAAAACAATCACAATGTACTACTTCTAATAGTGTGTAGTAAAATGTAAATAATTATTCAAAATTACAAATAACCTTGACGTTTTGTAGTGAAAATTATTTTCTTTTAAAAATAAAACACAGAACTCTTTTGTTACTCTTCCTTCGTTCATTTTCACGTGCAGTATATACTAATCTATTCTTCTTTCTTCTGGCCTTTTCCCAACGAGTTTCAGCTATTCATTATTTTCAGTGGACCATCTGACCATCACCATATTAGGATATTATCAAAGTCATGGCTATTTCGGATACTAAACTACTAAACACTCTTACAAAGAATGTTTTGATTACGCGAAGTGAACTGAACGACGACTTCGTAGATGTAGTATTAAAAGAGCGTTAAAGATCAGTTGGAGGGTCGAAAATCACGGCTTTTAAACTTACTAATAACACTGACAAATGAATATTACAAATGCAGCAATCTTACAGTCTATTTCTATCGCAATTATGTAAATGCATCACTCGTATTAATAACAAAATGTGTCGAAGTACCTGTTTCTGTTTAATAGGTACTTGCTTCCTATATAGGAAAGTGTACAACTTTTAGATGATTGTAACACAGCTGTTTATTGTAATCCAGTTTTTGTTCAATACATGAATTTATTTTATAATATGATAATTATCAAATGCGGTAGTGTTAGGGTAATTTCTTGGCTTGTCTTTAATGTCTTTATGTGTTGTGCTATGAATCATATGAATAATAATATATATCACAACATAAAAACTGATTTAAAATCGAAAAATGTGAATTAACATAGGATAGAACAGGACATAATACTAATTTTCTGTCGCGGAGAACCTAACGGGTAACCGGAGCTCCGGCTCGACGTGCAGGAGAAGGAACGGGGTGGTTTTTAGTCAGTAAGAGTCTGACACTCCCTCCCACCTCACCCAGGCGGGAGCAGTCATTCGATGATTTTCCCCCCTTAAAAAAAATACTAATTTTCTAATTGCTTTCATAACAAATTGTAGGTATTAAAAGAAATATTTGGCAAAAATATTTAAGTCGCCTAGTGTTGCTAGTCGTGTTGAGTGTCGTAGCAAACGTGACTAGAACGTAGAGAATTTTCTAAAGCGCTCATGTGACGACGACGTAGGTATGTAAAATATTTAGGAACACAATGCTAGCGAAACAGAAGAATTTGTACAATTGTAATTTGGCTAGTAAAAAAAAGCTAATAATAATATTCATGAACCATATTAATATAATAATTCTCACACATTTCATTATAATAATAATTACATAATAATATCATAAGTACTTACAATTAAACATAGAATAACAGTACAATAATCATCGACAACATGAATTTACTGTCGTTTTACAAAGGTGACTTCGACGGGCCCGTCGTTTCTGAGTACAACGTCAGTAATGATCCGAATGTCGTCAGGATGAGTGACCGGCTCCAGCACAAACTCTCGTAACACTTCTGCCACAGCCATCTTCATTTCCATCATGGCGAATTTCTGACCTGTTATGAAATGTTTGTTAATACAATAAATATACCTTTAACTTTATAAAAAGTATCATACCAAATATAAGCTTCATTTTGAGTTTCGCTCCAAAATCGGGTAAAAAAGTTTTCGCTAATTAAACCTATCTTTTTCTTTATCATTCCTCACTCTCATTCCTTCTCCATGTGAGAAGAGATCTTTGCAGAGGGTACTTATGGACTGTTGATGTGATTTCACTGCCTCGTTGATGGAACAATCGCAAATTACGCGTAGCAACGGATGGACAAATAACTAAGAATATTTTTATTATTTCCGAATTCTGTTTAGGTAACACAGAGCAGTAAAAAATCGCCTGTTAAATACCTTACCTATTTTGTTATAGTAGGGAATTAAAACGAAAACATTCATCTACTCACGAGGCATTTACGATAACTACCAAAGTATGCTTACCTATACAATTCCTGGGTCCCGCACTAAAGGGAATGTAAGCATAGGGATGTCTTCCAACACTGTTCTCAGGCAGGAATCTGTCAGGGTCGAACTTGTTAGGGTTGGGGAATAAATCCGGTTGGCGATGCAAGTCATAGATATGTATATGGCAGAATGTTCCAGCTGGTACTAAGTAGTCACCTGGAATTAACATCGTTCATTGATAAGAAGTAACATGCACAGCTTTCAGTAAGATTTTTATCGAGTTTGTCGTGTGCCTGAGTTAATAATAGTGTTACTGTAATTTTGTAGCAAAGCTAAACAATCTATTTGTTTTCTTGAAGGCGCTGACTATTTGCTAAACCGTACTTCAACTTCACCATAATTACTAGAACAGTCGAGAATTTCATTACCTTCTTAACGTTTATTGTCAGAAAGAGAATTTGACAAGTTAGTTGGTACAGTGCCTACGAATTATACGATCATACTACGATGTTCCGTATATTCGCAACTGGAAATAATGAATATAGGACGATACGATAGTGTATATTATTTACTTTTGAGATCGGATAGAGTTTTTTTTTAATCTTTATTTCATAAGTAGGGCTTTTTTCTAAAGAGTAAAACGTCAACCCCATTAAAGGATACAAAATTCAGTACATACTACATTGAAGTAGTAAACCGTGTACAGTAAACTTGCCCTTAAACTTAAACATAAAGTAATTAAATGCTTATACACTGTGATAAAAACCAATATTAGAGTTTTTAAAACTAAAGACCTGATTCCTGCCTTAGAGATGTGATGACACAAAACCGTAATCATAACTTTGGAAACAAGTTGGTACCTACGTTTATCCAATAAAATCTTTAAAAGTATTAAAAACTTTATCAAATAACAACAACAACACTTAAATGCGTATGATATAAAAATAATATTAATTTGTACTTAATACTAATCACGATTTTAAGAATACTACCGGATCTAGTAACTGATTAATTGTACGTAATGATTACATTAATTACCTTGGTGTTTAATATCTGATAAGTAAACTATTCCTACAACATACTAAACATATTTTATTTGTGCAAGGATCAATGCGTTTATTTATGATCGTTTTTTTTTCTATTTCTATATAAATAAGTGTATTTTTTGTTCTTTTGTTTTTTAATTTTGTATATTTTTGTATCTATGTGCGTGCCTACTGTCGAATAAATGTTTATTCTTTCTTTCTATTTTTGCATAATATGAATTTTTAACGTAACTCACAGAGGAATATCTATTCTCTTATATTGTAGGTACATTTAGAAGCATACTTCTTTAGCTGAATGTCACACTAACATCCCCTTTCCTACTCCTGCTCTTCGGAGGTCGGAGTCGTCGGTTCGGCAACGTACGTAAAGTACGGCATGTACGTATCGGGCATGTGGCCCAGATGAACGTCACACTTAGATTGGGATCAACAATTTGTGGATTACACAATTATTTCGGAAAATAATATACAATACTATTAGCCAGTGCACTACCGTAAAATTAACGTTAATCGTGAAATGATTATGATTATATACCAATATTTACATTTGTATAAACTCGATACAGCATTTAATTCATACTTAAGCAATTACCCAAGTATATTAAATGTACTTATGTGTACGTCCTAAGGGCTCACTTATTCAATTAATCGAACTATGCTTTTTATGGATGGATATGACCACGGCGCGACTAAACTTTCATTAATAAATGTTTTGCTTACTCAATATCACATCTTCGTGCAAGCTCCTACTGATAAAATGCACTGGAGGGTACAACCGCAACGATTCCTTAACACAACGTTCCAAATACTTCATCTTCGGTAGATCTTCAATTGTGATTGGACGTTTAAAATCTCCCAAGACTTCTTTCAATTCATCTACGATTTTGTCCTGTAAAAATATTGATCGTGTCTTAAAATATAAAACTTTGGTACCTATGTATAGAATCAAAAAGAAGGAAGATTCAAGTAGTTAATTGGATTGCAGTACTTTAATTTGAAGTTAATGATATAGTATGATATACAAGTTAATTCATAGTCCAAAGGTACATAGACAGGAACTTAGTGACGAAGAACCTAAACACTTGTGGGTAAAAACTAGTACCAAACCAGTTACGAATATGGTCAAAAAACCAACCTGTGCATCTTTATGATGTGCTAACAGCATAAAGCAAAAAGTCAACCCACTCGCCGTGGTATCGTGACCCTACAAAACAAAATACAAACACATTATAATAACAAGTACAAAATACGGGATATATGTTTCTGTTACAATAGATACAATATGTCACAAGTGCAATCGGTCACCGACCCCACTTACTTCGAACATAAACGTGTCGACTTCTTCTTGCACTCCAATATCGTCAATTAATCCTTCTTTTTTAGCGGTAATTAATAAATCCAACATGGCAGTCTTCTTTTTTCTCTTATACACGTAGTCATCTTCTGTTACATCCTGTTCTGGTACACCAAACTTATCAATGTATTCGGTCCTTTCTTGTATTACCTTCTTCGTGAAGCCATGTACCGTCTTTAGATACCCTTCCTGCCTTCTACTCAGTGGCGAAAGGTTGAATATAAAGTCCACAAAATAGAATACTTTGATAAATCTTTGGTAGAATATGTATCCCAAGTTGTATATCGCGTCTTTGTATGCGTTCATCTCTGATGTGCTCAAATCACTCAATCGGGTGCCCATTGCAGTTTCTACAATCAAAACAAATGGTTATGTTTGTCCTTTTAAACAAAACCGTTATATGACAATTTCTTTAAAATACGAGATAAAGTAGGTTATTAATTTGTGTAGTATAAAGATACTAGACAGGTAGCATGTTGCACTGTAGTGATCTGTGTACAGATCTAGTTTAGGGAGGGCATTCAATATTGCCAGACACTTGTAATTTACTAGTGTTTCATAAAATAACTGATTACTCTTACCACAAATAGAACTGAGCGTGAATTCCGAAATGATAGGAGCTACATCTACTGGTCGACCAGCAACCTTTTTGAGATTTGTCACAAAGCGCTGCGAATTTTCTTCCAAAACTTGACAAAATTGACGTAAAATATTGAAATGGAAAGTGGGCGTCAGGATTTTTCTCCTCTCCTGCCACTTTGACCCTGAAAATAAGGAAGAATAGAATTACAATTTGATTAACCATTGAAAAGAGTTAAATCATAATGAAAATGCGTTCTTACCTTTGCTTACAAGTAGACCATCTTTTAGCCAAGGCCTCAAGACCCTGTAAACTTGACTTTTTTCATTGAACTTCATGCTTGATACTATTTTCTAGAATAAAAAAATGTTTTTAGTACTCTGCGTCTCAGAATTAGGTAATGCATTTGTAACGCATTACATACTTACATCTATATCTGACTACATAATTTTATAGGTACAATATAGTAGTCAGTTAAGAAATTACATACCTCAACATCATTGGCATTGTAAATATTCACAGCACCAAACGGCGGTATCCAGAGTCGGTATAATCCAGAATTAGTATTTGCCAATTCTCTCGCCAAGTCCATGAGACCAACTGAAAATGATAGGATATGATTGAAATATGTAAAATTTTTGGACATTTTTCTCGACCAGACGTCCATGTTCCTCGATTGTCGTAATTCCCAGGACGAAGTCTGGAGTGTATAATTCCAGTCTTTGTCAATACAGCAAAAAGCTTACTTCACATTACAGGGCATTCCATAAAATAACTCGTTAAAAGTGGATGTATGTACGTAAGTATACCTCTGTCTATGCCATCGATGAACAACTTGGAGAAGTTAATCACACATCAACACAATTCTAGGTCAAGGATACCATAAAATATAAAAATAAAAATAAATTTTACCTGAGGATCGCATCACAGCAGGTCCATTTCCTAATATAAACGAATCCTTTGGACCCGGCATTTGTCTAATCTTCCTCGCTTTTTCATTGTAATTACATATTAAGTGCAACAAACACAAAAACCCCGCCGTCACAAATAAATACAAGAACATTTTTATAACGTCCACGTCCTTGGCCTCAACTCTCTGTACTAAACACTTTATCACTTATTTATAAAATTAACCAATTGTGTCCATCTTGGGTAATCACTTGATAAAGTAATGATTTATCGTCGTACCTATTCTATTTTATTTCATGCTGTACTACAGCATACACTGCATAGTCAATAATTATGAATATACTATTTGTAGAACTGTATAAAGTCAATTATATTTTTTACTAAACTCAAAGTTTCTTGCATACCCACACAAACGAATATAAATAAACGATCCATAAACAAAGCCTCAGCAATATGTATGTTACGAGGTAAAAGTTTATTTATTTATCTTATCATTGTGTATTTAAGACTTAGATATCAATAACTACTGGACATTAGTCATTAGACTAAACTATTATGTGGCAAACACACGACTGAACACAAAAATATAGTGGGTTCCTGGTTGAACTAACGATAGGTGCTTGAATAATAATTATATTTGCAGATATTTACAATATTATTATTGCGGATTGATCTAATAGCAGTTAAATGTATTCTTTGTTCAGGTATTCTCATATCTAACTTCTTCTCAGAAATTAGACAAATTATTGACGATGACTGCCTCGTTGGTGATCATAAATGCGACTGCCGACCTGCCGAGAAATCTCCAAATCTATTTATCGTCTCGGGCAAACAAACGTTTAGTTTTTTTTTAAATAATAATAGGCTCATGCCCTATTTATTACACGGCATTCATTACATAAATGCATAAAAGAGTGATAAGTGGGTGGTCATTTATATCTATGCATACCCGTTCGTAGAATAAAGACTATGTTACGTTATTGACAACTATTTTTACCAATTAATGAGTATGTAAAATGTACGGTTAAATGACCTCACTAGTGTAGGTGAATGTCACTGCCAGCGTTGTAGGAACATTATAAATACTTAGGTATGTATTTATTATGTTACACCTAAGTGTGTGCCATTTATGTGTGTGTATTGTCTATTTGACTTATTTTCATTTTAGTTCTTAGAACCAGTTGGGGTGGGGTATTATTTTAGCGGTCGGTGAGGCAGTAGTTATTTTCATTTTTCAAGAATTCTTAGTAATATCACGACGCGAAGTGTGGCATGGTGTCTGCATGGTAATAGGTATATCCCAACTGCGGTCCTATGCAGTTACGGATTCAATTCGGAGTATCCTTATCTCCTATGTCCCCCACTTTGTTCTCCTTATTTTAGAGTGTATTTTAGGTATTTTAAATCTTGGCCTACTCCTTCAAAGATTAAAAGGTATCCGTTTTATTTTTAGTTTTTATATT